GATTTGCATAGCGGTGTGCAGAAACCCACCATTTAAAATGTTCTAAAAACATGATATGCATTACTATTTACATTTATAATCACTTAGAATTAAATAAATATTAAAATAAACGTACCTGAGCAAGAGGTAAACTTACATGAAGGAGTATGCATTGAGTTTGTTGCAATTACCTGCTGATATAGTCGTACGTAGTTCCAGGAAAATAAATAATCAAGACAAATAAAATGTAATATTAAATCGCATTACAGTTCCTACTCTGCGTGCATCGGAAGATTAGTTTCCTACCAGTTTATAAAAGGAATATAAAGTGCAGCAACTTAAATATTTTCAATATACTTGTTGTCTTGTGCTTTGGAGAGAAAAACAAAAAAGGGGGTAAAACAGGTTTAACATTTAAACTATAAAACATGAAGAGTTGATTATCCTTCATCTAAACAACTCTGAGTGAGGCTTTATTATTGTAAGGCACGTATAGCTACCTGACAATTAATAACTCGAAAAGTGAGGACGAGCGACGAAAACTCCGCCTAAATAAGATAAAGGGAGTCACACGGTGTACATTTGGGAATCTGAGGTCCAGTCTGTGCAGAATAATCAGAGGTCAGGCTGCTCCTGTTCACTCCAACACTCGAGCAAGTGAAAGCTGTTGAACCAGTTAATCATGTTTTCCTCTCTGACTCACTGGCTTTGGCTCATTTTCTAGGAAGAACATGCAAAAGAACGCATTTTCCTTGAACGCCCCACATATGTGGTGCTTAAGCATTTTGATGGTCATTTTAAAAAAGCAGGAATTGTGGGTGAAAGCAAGTGTAAATACTGTTAAAAACAGAGAAGAAGGTTTGCCGTGTGCCTCCACTCGGCCTGCTGCTGTCGAGTGTATTTGTGTCGTCCTATAAATTTGCTTTTTTACCATTTTATAGGTGCTTTAATTGATCAATGTAATGTAGTAAATATTAGCCAAATGTGCTGTCTACAGTCCACGTGAAGAACAGTTTTTATACTCCATGTATATCGTGTCAGTCTTGAGTTTCCAGTGACCTTCATAACTCTGAATGTTCTATGATGGAACAAAAGAACAATCGTGCATTAGAGACAGATTTATTATGGGTCCTCTAGAAATATGACAAAATCTGCTGGTTTAAAAATAGACATACAGCAACTTGAAATATCAGTTTTATTGATGTAGAAAACTTTGTTGATCAGATTTTCTTAGTGGCCTCTGAACTCTTCATGAGTGATTACGACTGACTACAGTTGGTGATTCCTCTGAGCCAATTTAAACAGGGCTCATTGGATCCACTCATCAGACTGAGCCTCAAACACTACAGTAGGAAAGTCTGAGGAGCTCAGCAAAGATCTAAAAAAGCTAATCACTGACTTGAACAAGTCACTTGGAGCCATTTCAAAGCAGCTACACATCCCAAAATCCATTCATCCATCCATCCATCATCTCTACACCTTAACCCTCACTAGGGTCGTGGGGGGCTGGAGTCTATCCCAGCTGACTCAGGGTGAAGGCAGGTTCACCTGGACAGGTAACCAGTCTATCACAGGGCTACACTTAGAGACCGGTGGGAGGAAGCCGGAGAACCCGGAGAGAACCCACGCTGCACGGGGAGAACATGGAGACTCCACACAGAAAGATCCCGGGTGTCCTCACCGGGACGTGAACCAGCGACCTTCTAGCTGCGAGGTGACGGTGCTAACCACCACATCCCAAAATCAACTGTGCAAACTACTGTAAGTATAAAGTGCACGGTCTGGTTGTGTCACTGCTTTGATCAGCAGAAAAACACAAACTATCACCTTCTGCTGAGAGACAATTGGTCATGATGGTCAAGAGTCAACCAAGAATCACCAGAAAGGAGGTCTGCAATGAATTAGGAGAAGTGTGTTTTATATCTCCATGTGCTGTGCAAGAAGGAAGTCCTTCCTCCAGGGACAGCACCTTAAGGCTCGACTGAAGTCTGCTGTTGGCCTTCTGGAGGAGAGTTAAACAATTAGTTGTTTGGCCACAATGACCAGAAATACTTGGAGGACGGAAGGTGAGGCTTTGAGCTTCAAGAACACCAAACCTACCATCAAGCATGGAGGTGGCAGCATCATGCTCTGGGCCTGTTTTGGTGCCCGTGGAACTGGAGCTTTACACAAAGTAAATGGAGTAAAGAAGAAGGAGGATTACCTCTATATTCTCCAGGAAAACCTAAAACCATCAGACAGAAGGTTGGTCTTGGATGCAGTTGGGTTTTCCAACAAGAAAATGACCCCAAACACACATCAACAGTGGTAAAGAATCAGGTTAGAATTATCTTAGACTGGTCTTCACAAAGTCTTGACTTACACCTTTAATCAGGAACCTGTGGACTGATGAAGAAAAAACACAAAGATACATCCAGAAGCTTGTATTCAGCTACCAAACGCACCTAGTTGTGGTGAAAATGACCAATGGATGTTTAACCAAATAGTAGCAGTGCTGTATGTATATTTCTGACCCAACAGATTTTGTCATATTTTCTGAAGATCTATTCGAACTCTTTAAAAGAACCAAAATACACGATTGTTCTTTGTGACAAAGATTCATGTTGCAGTGATTCCTTCATAGAAATTCAGAGTTACAGGAGGAGAAACTCAAGACGGCCATGATATACATACAAACCTGATTATGTTGTAGACCCACCACACCTGCAAACTTTGGTAGTTATTCAGAAAAGCAGCACAAAAGGGTTAAAGATCAAAGTTGTGACGTGTGAAACTACAGGTCCTCTGTTAAAAACTGCACATGGACAAACAAATAAACCAAAGTTAGGAAGACAACGACAGTCTAACAACAAAAAAAAAGAATCAAACGAAGATGCGACTTGACCTCTTCCTCAGGCTGACATGTTTCAACAAGCACCTTCATCAGAGTGTCACACAACAGACTTGTAGCTTCATGTTGTTTTTATAACGCCTGTAAAATCAAAAGTATTGTTTTTACTCATTTGTTCTAAGTCGTTCCTTCTTGGCATCCTCAAAACGCACCAGACCTTAAAAGTGCATCGAAAACTATTAGAAAAAATACTGGATTTTTTGTAGTGCTACCTTAACATGAACAGGATTTCTGCATGCAGTCAAGAGTTGAACGCATTCTTCTAGTCCAGCAGGACATGCATGATGCTTATGCTTAAATCACGTCTTATTCTTAAATAAATCCGTTATTTAATCAGTGAATTCAAAAAGGCCCGTCGTCTGTTTCCGGTGCGACGGGTGTCGAGGTGGGGACTGAGTCTGGACTCTTCACTCTCACTTTCGGCGAAGAGGTCGGCGGCAGCGAGAGTCTTCGTTTTACCGACAGCAGACGCAGGATCTCGCTCACGTGAGACTCGAGCAGCGACAGTCGGCCGCTCAGTATCTGAATGTCTCCCTTCAGCTCCAGCTTGGCTTCATGCAGCGTCGTCTGAAGCAGAGCTGGTTCAGAAACCGGCTGCACGAAGGAGTGTTTGAGGGAGACCTCGCTGTAAACGCCCAGACTGTGCTCGAACGGATTCCTCTCCAGCGGGCTCTTCTCCATCGGGCTTCGCTCAAAGGAGCTTCTCGAATCTCCCGCTCGGTCGATGCGGAGGTCGCTCTTTGTGATGCCGCTGTCGCAGGAGTCAGTTTTGTGCAGGGCGCTGGTTTCCTCTCCTGCGCTGTTGCCGCCCTCTGTGCCGCCCATTTCTCCACCTTCCTCCATCTCCTGAATCTTGTTGGCAGCTGCAAACAGTTCTGAGGACTGTGCTGCTTTCGGCCAGTCTTCTGCTTTCTGCGTCGGCTTTTCTTGCACGGCAGCAGGACGCGGCGGCTCAGCAGACGTGGCGTTCCTGAACTTGGCCCATCCTCGGGCGCCTCTGCTGCTGCTGACGCCACCTGCAGCTCCGTCTCCACCTGCACCACCGCTCCGTGCAGGACTGCTGGCCTTCTGACGGAGCTGACTCTCCGCACAAGGTTCTGATACAGACTCCACCGCCTCTTGTGTGCAGCTTTGCTCAGACTTTTCAGGCACTGGAGGTGCAGCCATGTTGCAGTCACCGCCTGCACCTCCAGCACCTCCAGCACCGGTGTTGTTGTGCTGCTGCTGAGAAGCTGCTGTCTGAGTGTAAGAGTTTGAGTCGGGGCGATGGTGGTGCTGCGGCTCCACCTGCACACAGTTATGATCGAAGTAAGCGTGAGACTCTGCCGGTGTTTGAGCTTCTCTCTGCTGCCTGAACTTCTGGAACAACTTGCGAACAGGGTGGTCTTCGGGAATGGAGAGCGTCACCTCGCTCCTCTGGCGCTCCTGCTCCCGCTTCACATCGGCGATCTTTCTGAAGATTATCTGCAAGAAGAAGAGTCTGCGCATGAGGACAGTGATGTGGGATGTTCACACAAAGGTCACATCTGAACCGCCGCAGCTGTGCTTCACTTACTGCACACACTCCAGCGCTCTGCTCGGATGAAACAGAATGCACATATACAGTATAATGCGGCTTTAAAGCATGGATAACCATCCAGAGCTGCTACGTATCTTGAAATATTTACAACTTGAGAGCAGCGGTGCACAAGGGAAACCGTTAATGGAGCACTAATTCAGCGATATCCAGGCTCTGAAGACAAAGAAACAAATGTTGACCAACCTCCTTGGACGTTTTAAGTGCATATTGTTGAAGAAATTGTGATGTAACAGCAGGCAACAGAACACAATCTGGAGTTCCTCAGCACTTCTAGATGTTTATTTCAGATGTAAAATACCTCCTGGACTAAATCCCAGAGGCTGGTACAGCCTCAAACATACGATGCGTATTCATGGCAACAACTTTTTTCTCTTCAAAGTGCTTCTGCAAGTGTTTAGTGGTTGATTCTTTGGTGGCATTTTTTTAAATTATATCAACATCACTGTGAGTTAATCTGGAACTGATGATAGTTTAGATCTTATGTTCAACCAAAGCATAAGCGATTAAAGTCCATTTAAAGGAGATCCAGGGAATCCTAAATATATTATACACGTCAGAAACTAACTGCTAAAAACATGTGAAAAGAAAAACTGTGGCGTTGGACTGTTCTTCATCGTTTAGGTTTCGGATTTATTGGGTGGCCCAGAAGTTAGGACTCAATGATACACTGAAGCGACGCTTTGATTGGCCCCCCGTCACTAACACTATAACGCTACAGAAACTAGAGTGCATTAGCATCAGTGGTTCTCCTGCTCTATCAGGTGTTGCTGCTCCTACTGCCGCCTACAGTTTGCTGGCGAGTGTGGCATCTGATGTTCCACATCATGGGTCTATGATTGGAGTCCCAGGTCAAAGGTTGGATCTGGGTCTTGGAATTAGGGGCCTTGCAGATTTCTGATTGGAGTAATCAGGTTAAAAGTTGCATCTGTAGGGTCGTCACATTACCTAGAGCAGGGGTGTCCAATCCTGGTCCTCGAGGGCCACAATCCTGCATGTTTTAGATGTTTCCCACCTGATTCTAATGATCAGGATCGTTATCAGGCTTCTGCAGAACTTGATGATGAGCTGATCGTTTGAATCAGGTGTGTTGGAAGAAGGGAAACATCTAAAACATGCAGGACTGTTGCCCTCGAGGACCAGGATTGGACACCCCTGATCTAGAGGATGTGACTCACATTACGACACGAACCATATGTCCAACAACGGCCCTGTGTGAGCCAGTGGTTAAGGCTGGTCTGGAAGGGGATTCTCTTTGGCTTCAAATCCTCTCACAGGCATCGGAGGTGCTTGTTCCAACAAATTTTTATAAACCAACAATACGGTATCAGCGGAGGACTTCTTCATCATCTTCACATCAATAAACAGCACGAGCAAATACAGCTTCCCTGGATGCCAGAATTTGCAGACCAGCTCGGTTCCTTTACTTAAAGTTTGTAAGATTGAAGAGATGAAGAAGAAATTAAATATTTTTGACGTCCAAACTGATGGATAGCTGAGGATCCCCTACCACTGCAGTGACCGTCCTGCATCGGGTAGTTTTAATAATATTTATCGGACATGACTGGGATTCAGATATAATCCAGTGTTAGTGGTGAAAGAGGCAAAACCGACAACCTTGTTCCCCTGAACTCCTCTGAACTTTAGTTTTTTATTGTATTTAACTCCATTTGCACCGTTGGGTTGGTTTGTAAACTGTCAATAAGCAGCTTTGGCGGACAAGCCCCCAATGAATAATTGCCAAATTTCTTCAAAGTCTGACAGCTAATTTTATACACTTGGAAAATATTTTAATCATCTAAATTAGTCTGAATGGTGTGACAAACTCTACACAGCTTTACACAGACTTTAGTGAAAGTTTCTTGGTGTAATCTTGACACAAACTTTGCTGAGCTGCTTCCAAAACAGTTTTTCCCCCAAAACCTCTGGAGACTCTTTTATTTCATGCACAAGCCAGCAGAACCGAACACATAACAGTAAAAAGGGGTTTAGAGTAAATATTAAACCTATGCAGGCATGAACAGCCTCTAAAGCTGCTCATATTAATAATGGATGCTTTTATTTTCAGTGAATACGTTTTAAGTATGTGCCATAAATCTTTCAGCGTGCAGCCACAATTTGCCTTGAAATCGTTTGGATTGCGAGCTGCTTCTCTGACTGAAATAATCAGTAAATATGATGACATGAGGCTTCTTATAGGAGTTGTAGTGGATGAGGAAGGACAATTAAACTATATACTTATGTAAAATATTATGACATCACTGTAAACGACTATGTTTTGTTTGGACCTGCGTGTTTCTATAGACACGCTGCACTGTTGTGTAGTTTCTGAACAGACAGATCCAGAGGTCATTCTGAGTAATTATGAGTCTCTTTAACTACTTCATCAAAGTTCATGTTTTAATTGATAAAAGCTTCTTTTAAATCTGCTGCCTCAGACGTTTTTCTCATAAGCCAGTCCTGAACAAAGAACACAGCATGGACCGGATTGACTTCTGAAGGGAGAATCCATTAAGAATTAATGCAACGTAGATCTCAAAGGATAATATTATAGCAATAAAGAAGCAGCTTACTGACAACGTCTTAATGGGACGAATATGTATAGCACGGAGAAGCTCTATGAAATATTCATTAGAGCTTTAGTTTGAAGTGGGGAATAGTTTTGATTGGTTTTTCTGTTTCTTTGTGACTGTCCTTTTGTCGAGTCCGTTCTGAAATCTGAAAGTTATCGTTGGAAGCAGCGTCCACACATTAAGTCCCATAATCAGTCGGTAAAGTCGGTTCACTGACAAAACTTTAAAATAATAATACCTACTCTGTATATCGACACAGATCGCAGCATTATGGACTTTTTAAATAAATAAAAATTTAAAAAACATTGGATGAAATACAGTCATTTCCATGACCAAAAAAAAAAAAAGATTTTCCTGCCAAATGTACATAAAAAAATACAAAAAATATTTGTACTGTTTAATGGTTTCTATTATATATGTGTATCTCCAAGTTTATTAGTTTCATCTAATAAATAAAAAGGATTATTTGTTTAACAAAAATCATGTTGTTTACAAATAATCTTTTTATGTAAAGTCTGTTTTATTAAAAAAAAATCCTGATAATGAAATGAATGAAAAATTAAAAATACTTTATTTATCCCAGAAGGGAGATTCAATTATTTATCATTTATATCAATTCAATAATTCACTGTTACAGGTTTTGTTATTTTGCATTAAACATAGAAGTATACAACCATTTCTAGTCATTTTATTTATATTTTTGTAATATTTTTTGCGAGAAAAAGTAAATTAAAACAAATAAATTCAGTAGAAACTCTGTTTTCTATATCTTGATTTTTTTTTTTTTTTACAGTGTGTGATCAATAATAATCAGCCGGCGCATCGCTGTTCTGTTTGCTAACCCGTCTCTGTTCTCGTCCTCATGCTCGGACCTTTTACTGCTGATGGCCTGAATATCATTGATTCTAATCACTGTGACCTATAATTACACACAAATCAAACGGCTCTCCGCTCGCTGCGTCGCTTTTCTTTCCTTCCTCGTCCAGACTTTCTCCATCATGAGACTCTGCTGCACTTTCTGCCCTCAGCTGCCCGTTTCTGACAATGTGCAGTTTCTACTCTGCTTCTGACACATTTTTGACATCATATATAAACAGCGTGCCCTCTTATTCACCCGTAATATAGACCGCTATCACTGCCCGTCTTATCTTTATAACCTGATGAGCACATCGTAAACCCACTGACTTGTTCTATAATTAATACTTTGAATGCTCATCTTATCACTGCCGGTCCTGTTTGTATCATGAGCATCTTGTTGGTATCATGTCTATGCTGTATGCTGCGTGTTTGCTGATGCATGTATGAATTAATCTCTGATCAACTGGCCTGCAGGGTTTCCCCTTATGAGCTGCTGAAGGCTTCTGTCTGTTAAAAAGGATGATTATTTCTTCCTTCCCAGCGTCGCCTTCATGCTGAGTCTGGGGATCTTGACACAGTTTCAATAGTTTCACTTCCTTTCATGTCAGTTGGTGCAATAGAAATAAAATCTAATTGGATTGAATTAAACTGAACAAAGTGAGTTACGTTCTTGTGCTTTTCAATCGACGATCACAGTTGTTCCAGCTCCTATTAAAACTTTATTATTTTACCATCAAATAGGAATATTTTAAATAACAGGAATATGTGTTTTTTTGTATGAGGTTGTGTGTGACTGCACAGCATGAGTCTGTAGCGGGTTTAACGTCTCAAGTCCAGCTGGAAACCTTTGTGTCCTGTCCCACATTTATGGTCTTTCCTCCTACAGCGGCATGCACTCCTGACTGCAGCCTGCAGAACAGATTTAATTTGGTTTAATTGGTGTAAATGTCAAATGTGTTGATTAAATTGGTTTAGACGAGGTTCAAATCATGAATTGATTGGTTTAAATGGCAAGTCTGAGTGAAGTCAAATGTCAGTTTCATTGGTTTGAACTTAGTTTTGGGTGGAATTAAACAATACAAGTTTATAAAATAGAAAATAACTCTGCAGCACGTCACAATGTCATTGTTTTTCTTCCACTGGGTTCCATTTTTGCCACTTTGTTACACGAGTACCTGCATTTACTCAGGTACAAACACTTGAGTAAAGATTTTATTTCTTGTGAATGCTTGTAGAAAAAAAACTGAAGGACTAAATGTTCCTTTTTGGATGAGAAATGATCCTATTTCTGAAGCTACACAGCTGTAGAATACAAAAAAGTGGTTGAAAATGAGCTTAACCGTAGCTCAACATCTACTCCAGTGAAATGCAACGTATACTTTAATGCAGCAGTAAATATTAAAAATGTCAAACCACTAACAGAGAGCAGTGGCCTCCAGTTTGTGAGCTTTGCTGAGAACACTTCCTTTACTTAGATAAGGTTTTAAATGCAGGACTTCTTTAGTAAAACTACACGCTGCACGCTTTACTCTGCAGCTATTAGTCTGACACTCACAGAAAATGTCTAGCAGCTCAAACAAACCGGTATCTTTTACACACACTGATGACTGAGTGCAGCTAAAGATCCTTTTTTTTACCCGTTTCCGTAGGTTACAGGTGAGGATGAGGTTGCGGGAGAACGAGCTGGCGAATGCGGTGTAAAACTCCAGAACCCTCATCAGAGCTTCCCTCCGGATGACGTGCAGGTCGCAGTAGGTCAGCGCTCGGACGTTGGCACAGGCCCGAGCCAGCGTGGTTTCTTTCCAGAACACGTCTCCAAACACGTCACCTTTACCTGGAGGAGGCCAGACATCAGTGTGTTTTGTTTAACAGGTGCTCAGTGTCAGATTCTTTGACAATAAAAGCCATATTTGTGCATAAACATGTGGTGAACTGAATAGAAGTGGATGCAGGATATTCTATTATCAGTAGAAAATGGGTTAGGGAAAACATTAATGGCTGGACTACAAATGCTTTGCACTGTGGTAACCTTTGCTCCAGCTTCATCGCCGCCAAAAGACGCAGATAAAACCTGGCAGGGCAGATTTCATAATATTTCTCTTCGTTACCTAGGATTGCGATGACCTCATCGTCCTGGATGACCTCCAGCGAACCCGAGACGACGAAGCAGAGCGTATCGACGCTCTCTCCGATGTGGAAGATGAGGTCTCCGGGCGCGCAGTGGGTGGTCTGAAACTCCACCGCCAGAGAGCGCAGACAGCCGTCGCTGGCCAGACGGAACGCCGGGTGGTCGTTGAACACCTGCCTGTTGAGGTGGACGCAGATGTCGGCTCGCATGTCTTTGGGACAAATGGAGAGAACCTGAGAGAGAGACGGTGAGATTCCACAGCAAGCACTTAATGAAGTTAAATATAAAACGTTTCAACACAGTGTGAAAATAAAGTGGTGGAGACATGAAAGTCTGCCACAGCTGCATAATCTTTACGTTCCAGATTACGGGCCATGAATGCGATGATCTCTGAGCAGCTAGACTTCAGATGTCGGAGCAGTTAAAGGCTCTGATTACATCTGTTTTACTCCACAACACTAAAAAAGTAGAAAAGAAAGAGAAAAACCTAGATAAATACGAGCCAAAGGTAACGTTGGTGATAGTGGCACCAGGAGAGCTGACATTCCTGCAGACAGTGATAACTTCCACAGAAATGGGTTGACTTGCTTTTTCTCGTGTCGGCATCTCAACTATCGAGTTAGTAATCAATCGCTTTCTCTGAGCATAAAGACTGGAAGCAGATGCAAACAGCTGATCTGACCGAATCAACACAACAATGCAAAAACGCTCCGTTACAAATAAAAGCTCTGCAGGAAAATCCTGCCTAAGAAAAGTACAGCAGCAAAATGTCGTCAAAGTTTAAAAGTCCTGGTTTGGTGTCCTACATATTATTATATATGACATCATAGGGTTGTTTCTGCTGAAGCATCAGTGTGTCTGCAGCAGGTTACTGTCACCGAACGGATAAATCTGAGAGGTGGTTAGATGATTAAAGGTAGAGAATATCCATCCATCAGTCATCTCTACACCTTAATCCTCACTAGGGTCATGGGGGGCTGGAGTCTATCCCAGCTGACTCAGGGTGAAGGCAGGTTCACCTGGACAGGTAACCAGTCTATCACAGGGCTACACTTAGAGACAGACAACCAAGCACACTCACATTCACACCTACAGACAATTTAGAATTAACCTCAGCATGTTTCTGGACTGTGGGAGGAAGCCGGAGAACCCGGAGAGAACCCACGCTGCACGGGGAGAACATGGAGACTCCACGCAGAAAGATCCCGGGTGTCCTCACCGGGACGTGAACCAGCGACCTTCTAGCTGCGAGGCGACGATGCTAACCACCTTGAAGCCCGGTAGCGAAAATGAGAAAATAAGATACTGATACACAAACCTATTTTCAGTTTTTGGACTTTCTGAGACTTTAAACTTGGATCATTTAAACATTTTGTGAAATAAAACCCCTTGAGTCTCTTCGATGTACAACCAACTCTTTGTATGTCTTTCAGAGGTGCTGGAGGACTGATTTCACTGCCTTTAAACCGGCCGTTCCCTCTCATGCTCAGCAGCTTTCTACCTGCCGTACAGACAGAGCGTGACCTGAGATCGATCTTCTTTTAAAACCTTCAGCAAAAAAGCTGCATCTCTCAACGTCGACTGTTGCCGATGCAGTTATGAAATCCCAGCATGCGGTGATGTAATTACTGAGGTGATTATCGGTTAAAGCTTCACTATCAGTCTGCGGTCAGCCCGCCCTGCAGCACAGTAAATTAGGACTCAGTAATGGCCTTATGATTGTAGTATCACGTTCCAGAGAAGGTGTGCAAGGTTTCAAAGAACCCGAGTGCATCCAGAGGTCTGCTCTGACCTTTGAAGCCGGTTATGGCTCACGTTATTTATGGTTCTGTTGAAAGTGAGCTCACTCTGTGACAACTCAATCAGATTAACTCTGGTCTTAAAACACAGGTGTAAGCAACTGTATAACCAGATAACTGTAATAAAACACACATTTTCACTTTCAGGTCTGTGCAAAAGTTTTGATTCTCACTTTTTCACCTTCGATGCCTGAAAGCTTTGCTGTGTGTATCAGTGACATTTAATGAACTGCTGCTGCTGCTACCAGTAAAGATACCTTATCAGTGTCGATGCCCTTCGACATGGCCCAGGTGGAGACGATGAAGTCCATGACCCTCTCGCTCAGACCTTTGGGAACCTGGTAGAGCTTGAGGAAGTCGCGCACGTTGTTGAGCATCTCGTGGTAGCGGTTGGTGTTGGTGTACATCTGCTGGAAGATGGTGGTGACGTTTCCAAAGATGGTCGCATAAAGCAGCGCTACAACGAACAGACGAAGAGAAAAGTAATCAGCAACACAAATCAGGGGAAAAGGTTTTATTTGTTGTTACAGGATTTTGTCTTATAGAAGGTCAGAAGTGTTTTTAGGTGAAAATTAATTATGTTTATATTCTTATTGAATTTAACCTTTTCACCTTAAATTTGGGGTTAAATATTGGATAAATTAATGTATAGTTTTAAGACTTTTTAATGGACTGTACACAGGTTTTAATCGTATTTAAGGGGTAGAAACCCTTTTAAAATGTACAAAATATGATTGCACAACCTTACAGGACTTTTGTTTTTCATTAAGCAAACTTTAAAATAATGGATAAATTCATTTATTGTAACACATTAATACATTTTATTTTAGTTTCATTGGTATTTGATGCCAACAACCCCTCAAAATGTATCCAAAAAAACTTTAATATCTTGTCGACAATTTGCAAGCACTTTCTTCTCACCACTTGTAAGTCTTTTTATTCTTGATATATGAATCTTCAGCCATTCCTGGGATATTTTTTGACTTTCGTTCAGGCACAGTCAAGTGCCAACTGCTGGGGATAAAAACCCGAGACGCGATGCTGCCAAACACTTGTAGTTCCTCGAGTGACCACATGGGGCTGGATCTAAAAGAAGTTCATCTCCATACACTGCTGTGTTAAAACGCCCAATTTTAAAGCATAAATAAAATATGTAGACATGTTCCTGATCAGCCGAATCACATGTATGTGGTTATAAAACGACCTCTGAACACCAGAACCTTCTTACTTGGGTTAAAGTCTATATTATGGATCCAGACAAGAATAGAAAAATGTCATTGTGAGATTTTACAAAGATAGAGAAGGATATGGGAAGATCTATGACAAACTAAAAAAACGCAGCTATCAGAAAGTACAGAACGAGCCATAGTACCACTAATCAGAGCTGCAGTGATCATCCTAACATTCAGCCCACATATAGCACACTACTCGCATCATCTAGCTCAGAAAAACAGACATGCTCAGGGCTCATGATGGCGTTTACCAGAGGAAATCAGAATATCTGTGACATCTCAGACACTATGAAGAACATTACATCACATGAACCTTTATGAACAGCACTTACGAAGACAAAATTGTCTGTTCCTGAAGATTAAACCTTGCTGTCGAACATGAAAAGAACCCTGATGAATGTCGCAAGCATTATTTGGTCAAGATTGATCAGGTCCAGCATGCTTAGTGTGAAACCACAGCGCCACCACAGTGAATGCACGGTCCTGACAGCGAAGCACAGCGGGAACAACGTGGAGCGCAAATGATGCTGACGAGACGACATTTATATGTAGATGGAAGAAGGAAGGCCTGTGGATATATTGAGACACGAACAGAAGCTTGACAGGAGAAACATTCCAGTGTGACGATGATTTAAAGCACATTGCTGAAATCACACAAGAGTTTCTAAATAAGAAAAAGTAAAAAAACACTTGGCCAAGCGTGTTTCCTGCCTCGAATGCAATAGAACACTTTTTTTTTTTATTACAGAGAACGGCAGAGCAACAAAACCCCTCCAGCAACGAGCAGCTGAAAGAAAAACTAGTCTCAGAAGAACGACAGAACATCTCTCTAGAAAACATCCTCCATGCTGAGGACGATTGAGTCTGTCACTAAAAATAAAGCCGGACACACAAAGTGCTAAAAAAAGAAAAGACCCTTGATGTACCGGGTTCCCACAGGAGGAGCTGCTATTTTGAATATAGCGAACAAAAACCTGCTTAACTTAAAATTAATGCAACTGCTGTGCGGTGAAACACTTCTGAATCCTTCCACAACTATTGCACACGAATGTGCCTCACTTCTGCTGTACAGTCCACAGCACCCAGCAGAGCACGGTGTGGGCTCGCTTAGCAAACACAACCGCACACAACGAGAGGTGCTTTAGGTCTTTGTAATGTAATTCATAATGCACGTTTTCCTCGGCAGGAGAGCTGTGCTGCAGTGACCTCAAAGAGTCAGTCAGTATCTCTTAGCGTGAAGTTTTACCCACTCAAGGGGAAAGCATCGTCTCCGGTCGCCACAGCAGGATCACAGAGGTTAGGATACATATCTAACGTGATGTCTCATTGTCAGTTTACTACACTGGAGCCTGCAGGCAAACGCTCCCTTTCTTCTCCCACATAATTACTGTATCCGTAGCAGGAGAGTTATCGTCGGTGGCTGAACGCGACGCTGCAGTGAGACTGAGTGATCTTCGTGATGGAGGCACCACCAGACTAATGGGTGTTTACTTTGGGAAGTACAAACCTTGAAGCGCGCCTGTCAGTTTCTGTGTCCTCAGTGGTTTAATTGCATCGCTTTACATGCTGTTTTAGACCGACGGGGCCAGAGGTCAGCGCGCGAAGCCGAGTTCTGACGGCGGTAGCGTGGAGGAGCTATTACTCGATCTGCAGCGAGTGATGAAAATAACACTGCGGGCTGGCACAGAAATAGATATTTCTATTTTTGTGAAATGGTGCAGCGTAATTTAAACGTGGCTCACGTGACTTATTGTTCCAGATACGATTGATGTAACTTCACAAAAACAAGGAGGGAGTGGATGAAAATGTCCTCATGAGTCGAACTTTAGCTGCGTTTAGGTGAGATTAGTGTCATCACAGCATTAAATTAAAGCTATTGTTGGGTCAGGAACATGATGTAAAACGACCATTAAAGCAGCGTATAGAGCGTTACACAACCAACATGCCGACGTTTCCGAGTTACACAAGACTCTATAGCTTCATCTTGATCTAATTCACCCATTAAAAATGCAACTCAAAGCTGTAACTCACTGTGCAGCAGTTTGCACATGAAAGTAGATGCACGAGTCTTTTACATTAAGCAACGAGGCTACATGCAAAAACATTTATTCCTTGAGTTCAAGCAAATGATTAAAAGCAGAGAGGAGGGATAAATAATTGGAGTGTGACTGAATTAACCCGTAGACGATGCTTCTGTGATGCGATGGCCGACCTTCAGACAGACACTCACACAGCAGGCTGTGATGGGCGCTGAACATGTCACTTTTTATTATCGACTGAGCTCCGTCCTGAATCCTCCGCCGCGGTTCAAACCGAGGCTGCAGCTACAATGTGAATTACATGTGAGGACCAGAAAGTGTTGTCTGTGGATTATTTAACCCTGCTGAGGAGAAAGGTTTATTTCTCTCACTGAATGCCAGATTCTGTCATTATGAAAACAGGATTTTAAATGGTCGTTTACTGTCTTTGTGCCAAATAACAATTTGTTCTATTTTTACACACAGAGCTCGTTTACATCCAGACGGCAGCTTTCAGAGCTAAATGAATGTGAGTTTGTTGGATCTGGACTAAACACCTGACATCTTCAGGTTGAAGCGGTGACTTTCAGGGACAGAAGAGCAAAAAACAAAGATGTTTGTATCAACCGCAATACAAAAAATAATGATATTTATGATCAGAAACTTTATTTAAATGTCAAATTTATAGTGGAATTGGTTTCAATACTTCAGATTATCTACTACTAACTACTTTCAGATTGAATAAATAGAATAAATGTCGTGTTTGTTTCATATTTCTCTTGATTTTTACTCGCTTGGTTACAAAAACATCGACAGTGTGTGTGTATAGGTCCGTCTGATGTACATGCGGTGCTTTCTTCAATATAAAACTTGCATAAACATAAAAATGAGCGTCTTCTCGGTGTCAAAATTAATTCAAGTGTGAGTATATCACAAAACATGAGCTCTAAATAACGTTATGTAGATAAAGTGTTAATAAAAGGTGCACGACAAGCTTAGCCATGTATTGATCTTATTGTGCTGCATCTCTGTAGAAGATCCTCCAAACATCTATACCATATGTTGCTTCGCCAGCAGCTGCTAAATAGCCAGCAGGACTGTGAGCAGCACATTATCGTGAATAGCGTGCAAGTAAGTGCATCCAGATTGTTTAATCTCCTGCAAGATTCTACTGGCACGTTATGAACGGATGAACGGCCGAGATGAAAACAGCATCCAAGGACGTATGCTTTGTTTGGTGCAGAGCGACGGCGAGATCGAAGCGGCTTCTATCGGCGTGCAGCTGCTGTTCAGATATATTACACCTGCAGCACCAATAATGCTGCTGCTGCTGCTGCTGCTGCATATGTTCCACCTCCTGCTGCTGTTTAGAACTCACACCGTCTGTCGGCTTGTTGTGGTGGCTGGGTCAGTCACAGCTAAATATAATCCACCATGGCAGCTAATGTAGAGACTGACTGTAAGAAAAACTACAAATTATTAATGCTGACTTGTTCAATGACTTGGTCTAAATTCTTTAGCATTAGCTTTGTGGAAATAACGACTAAAATACCAGCATGAGTGATAGAACACCGGACAGTGACGGCAGCGTATGACGGAGTCGCTGAGCAGAAACATGCAGCTTTTCTAATAAATGTGCAGAGTGAGCGCAAGAATATGACCCTGATGAAGTTTTTTAAAAATGGATGATTCAGTGTTTCAGCCTAAATCACTTCCGTACGCTACACTGGAAAAAAATCCAAATTGACCCAAAAAAGAACTCTTTAATTTTAATTTAACAGTAGTTTTTGTTTCATAATATTAAAAATAAAATCTGTAAAATGACATTATCTGTAAATTTACACTCAACAGTTGCTTTAAATATAATGCAAATGATGCCACATTACATTTATTTTTATTGAAAATGTACCATATTGTTTAAACTATTTGATTTTTTTCTGTTTTACTGAATTCATACACAATTGTATTAAACAAATAATAATAATACATTTTAAATAATCATTTTAAGATAAATCTTTTTTTTTATTTTAAACTTCTACATTCAAATGAAATAAACTTTTTTTATTATATCCAACAAAGACATTGAAATAAATCTCTTCCTTCTGTAAACTCTGGTCTCCATAGTGAAAGGATATTTTAAATCTTTTATGAATTATTCATAAATAATTGTTGGATATTGTCATTTTTTAACTGAATAGATCAAACAAAAGGGTTTTTGGTGATGTGTGCTTTGTCTGTCAACCCTTTATTGAATGTGTTTGATCATCATAAGTCTGTAAATAACAGTTTCCCTGCAGAACTCTTGATGGTGTCTGATTGCAGTCATTTAAACAATAGCGTTTCTTTGCAAAACATATGATTAAGTCATCTGAACATCTATTGGTTTTGCACTTTATTTGAATTATCTTGCTGCTTTACTTGAATTTATTTACATTTACTCTCTACTTTACTTGAATTGTACGAGCTTTTGTTTGGCAGCTGCCAGTCACTTGACCTTTTTTCTGTACAGTGTATTTCCCAGGAACAACAGTGGAGCCGCTGCTCTTTTGCCTTCCCCTCTGATTAACTTGGGCTGTGGAGGTTGGACTGAATGTCCATTGAAGAGGAACAACAGTGGTCACTTTGATTTAAGACGTTTTGAAAAGCTTCACTCCCACTTTTCACTTGACAAGTTAAAGTGATGGATGTGGGGTTACAGCTTCTGTGTATCTGTATTACACGTCTCTGTGGGGCTTTATTATCTCGATAATGTCCTCTTAATTTACCGCTCCATCAACGACCACTAAAACCAACGAGTGTAGTTGTGATTCTGTTAAACTGTTGTGTCATTTATTGGAGTTGTTGTCACTTCAGTTGCAGCTTTAAACGATGCACACTGTGGTCAAAGGTGCAAAGAAGACTCTCTGCAACCTTTGGAATAATTCTTAGATCATTGTGTAAACATGTTGGAGGAAGGTTGAGTACTTACAGCCCACCATCATCATCGCCACCGAGAAAATCTTCTCGCCATCTGTCGTTGGAGCGATGTTGCCAAAGCCGATGGTGGTGAGGCTCGTCATGGTGAAGTAAAGAGAGGAGATGTACAGCGTGTCTTTGTTGGGGCCTCCCTCCCACTGGCCCGTACCGCTGGCGTTGTAGCGGTACGGCGTTCCGATGCTGTGGGCCAGCTGGTAGAGCCAGCTGTCCGTCTTAATGGTGTTGGTGGTCTCATCGATGACCTCGTAGTCCCCGATGCTGTACCAGATGCAGGCGAGCCAGTGGGCCACCAGGCCGAAGACGCACACCAGCAGCACCAGGACGGCGGCTCCATACTCCAGGTAGTGGTCCAGCTTACGGGCGACTCGGCCCAAACGGAGCAGACGGATGACTTTCAGGGAGCTGAAGAGGCTGCTGAGGCCCTGCAGAGGGAACGAATGAGCCAGAAAGACAGTTTAAATTTTACATTTTTTTGTGCATTTGGTCTTTTATAGATTGACAGTAGGGCTGCAGGGTGGCGCAGTTGGTAGCACTGTTGGTGAGGACATCCGGGATCTTTCTGTGTGGAGTCTCCATGTTGGTTCTCTCCGGGTTCTCCGGCTTCCTCCCACAGTCCAGAAACATGCTGAGGTTAATTGGTGATTCTAAATTGTCTGGATGTGAGTGTGCTTGGTTGTCTGTCTCTAAGTGTAGCCCTGTGATAGACTGGTTACCTGTCCAGGTGACCCTGCCTTCACCCTGAGTCAGCTGGGATAGACTCCAGCCCCCCATGACCCTAGTGAGTACTAAACGGTGTATAGATGATGGATGGATGGATTCTTTTTATCAGAGAATTTCTTTAAAAAAAACATACTTTTAAAAAAAAATGGTTAAAAAGGTTCTTTTTCTTTTTTTCTCCCTTTTTTTTTTTGTTTTTTTTTTTACAGTGCAATGTTACAGAGAGACATGGATCTACTCACTGGGAGAACCGAATCCTCAGCCCGCGTGGTGTTCCTGTGGAAATGTGAAGACTCACGGAGATGACCGGTTGGAGAGCCGTGTGCGAGGACGTCCTTCATGAAAACAGTAAATATTTGAACGTTTACTTGCAGTGTGTTCAGAGTATTTTAAATCTCAGATGAAAGCAAGAACATCGTCCATTTAAGCGGCAGCGTTAGCGTTCGCTCACCTCGTCCACGTGTTCAAAGGCGTTGATGATGTCGTAGGGCAGACAGGACAGCAGGTCGATGACGAACCACGTCTTCAGGTAGTTCATCCGGATCAGCTTGGCGTCTGATATCACCTCTCCAGCTGGACCCACGAAGGTGGTGTGGAAGTTGAGCACGATGTCGATCAGGAAGATGACGTCGACAACGCTGTCCACCACCAGCCAGGCCAAGTTGTTCTGCTTGGTCTTGAAGGAGACGTTGTAGGGCACCATGATGGCCGTGTAGAAGGTGAGGATGAGGATGACCCAGTCCCACGTGGTCTTGAAGGTGCAGTAGTGGAGGATGATGTGCGGAGGAGTTTTCGGCGCCTCCTGTTTGTACTGAGGCAGGATGTCTGATCCCAGCTGGAGAGCCTTTCACCGAGAGGGAACACCAGCACAGAATCACACGTTGAGCGTCTCCAGACAGACTCTAGATCGTCTACCTTTAACCCACTTCACTGGTTTAACTTGTGCCATTCATAAGTGGATGCACAGATTGGGATTCAGACCTGGGCACTGCTCACCTCGGCCAGCCTGGACGGCTTGTGGCTGACCTCGGTCTTGTTGAGCGGAGCCAGCTGCTGCACCACATTGCGGTTGTTGGTCAGTGCCCGAGTCAGCCTGGCAAACTTTGTCCATCCTGTTAGCAGACAGCAATACAGGCGATTAAACGAAGACGCACATCACAACATAACATCCATTCGGGTCTTTTCTGGCAGATGTTACGATTGAATCAATCATCAATATTCACTAAATAGATTTAAAACATCTAATAGAGTATCACCACCGTGAGATACCATTAAAAGAGTGACTGTTGCACAAGAAGGACAGCAAGCATTTGAATAAAACAGTTTAAACCCTGATCAGACACAATGCACAGCCTGTATCCCACACTGCAGCCTTGATGCTAATTGTTTCGAATTTCTATTTGAAGTCAATGAGTTCCTCAGCCCAACTTCCATTTATCGTTTCACAGAAATTAAGCCAAATTTAACAGAAATATCATCGCATTTTAATTTTACAGATGCCTCCAGTGGCAGTGAAGGCATTATAAGGTCATTTTTTTCATTAAAAAGGTTAAAAAAGGTTGGAAACTAGAGCAAAGTTCTGGAACAACATCACTGATATTAACATTTCAGCTTTGTATTGTGAACAATAGACCTGATTTATAAGACTTATCAATAAATCGAGACTTTAAACCACATTTTAATACATCAAACATAAAAAAATGAGTACAAACACAACTAAAATCCCCTGAAAAACTTTTCTCTGTGTATCAAACTTGCATGAAACATAAGTTTTTTTCATGGAAATAATCGTTTCATTCTGAAGAGTGTGCAGCTCCATGAAGCCTCTCTCTCCATCCACCCCTCTGCAACTCACTGCAACCCGAGCACACCAGCTCACCTACAACTCTGCTCAAACACTGCAAAACTGCTCTACTCACACATAATACAACATTGGAGTAATCCCACTATGTTTTGCACGTGTTACCGATTCTGAAAAAGAAAAATAACCGGAGGGATTGTTTTCTTAGGCTTATTAATTTTTCCGAGGCGTCATTAGTAAACTGCTGTTTCAAGGTGGAAACGCTCAACCATGTCTTCTCGCATATAAAAAAAACCCCAAAGACATGTTAACAAGGTAAAAACCAACCACCTAATATTCATCTTGCATGCACATCCTATTCGATCATCCAAATAAATTCTGTGTTGAGCAAACGCTGCAGTATCTGTACTATTAGAAGCACAACACGGTTCAGCAGCTCCACCAGAATGACGGCTCATGCACAGTCGGCTTCATTGTGTTTCAGGCTTCACTGTATTTCTTCTGTGTTTTCCTGCAGTGTTTTCATACAGCTACCTTCCCCATATGGTCCGACTGTGTCTGCTCGATGTATGTAAAAAGTCTCGGTGGCACATTTAACCCCCAGGGACACGGCGCTGGCGTCGACCCACAGAGACCAGCGTCCACTGACCCGAACACACAACACCTGGACAGTTGTATGTTACACACCAGGAGAGGAGCGTCCGTTAAGTCGCAGTCATGTACTCGAGACTTCTGGCTGCATTTGGTCCTCATAGTTAGACTTTTTGAGAGAAGGCCTCACATTTTTAATGTAACATGCTACAAAGGCATTAAAAAAAACAGATAAACTCTCTCACCTTTAGTTGATTCATCTTCAATCGGCTGTTTGAAAAGCGTGATGTCCCTGAAGGTGCAGAGGAAAAGCACCACCTTGTCGTTTTCGTTTCGGATCGGGGCCACCTGCATGTAAAGCCATATCGGTGTTCCTGGAGGAAACAAAGTCGTGTTGTGAGAGGACGAACGGAAAATTACACCGAAAAGTAAAAGAAACAAACATTCCCTGAGTAAACATTACTTTAAATCATGCGGTGTGCGTTTTAACAGTTTTGTAAAATCATCTTTAATAGTCATACTCACTGTTTTTGGTGTAGAGAAGCACCTCGTAGAAATTAGATTCATAGCTGTTAAAGGTTTGTCTGATGCTGTCTATGGTCTTCTTATCGGTCAGATCGCCGTACATGAAACTGCAGAAGAAGAAAAAGGATCACGCAGGCCAGAGGTCACATTCTCTCGAGATCAGAAAAGAGTTCAAGTTTCTATTTAACTTCTCTGTTTGCCAGATTCAACCACTTCCATCATTTTGGATTAGTTCATCTTTCCAACACTGTGATTAAAAATCCCCAAGCTGAGATTCTTTATGACGAAACAGGACAAATAATCTTTGCAGTATTTATTTATCAATGCAAGCTTTCAGTCAAGTGTCAGGAAGAAAGACTCTTGACACCAAAGTAAAGTCAAACACAGCTGCTCTACTTCTACTGGACCTCCACCTTCTAGTCATCGCGGCTCGAGCGACGTCTTACTTGCATGTGCTGCTCCTGTGCATGACCTCGGCTCTGTGGTATCCAGACAGCTTGCAGAATCCATCGTTGCTGTACACAACCGGCCACTCCACGATCTGTGCATTTCCCAAAAGGAAACTGGTTTCTGGGACAAAGCACAGCAAAATACATGAAACGGCACAGTGAGGAGGACAACTGCACCTGTTGCCTCACATCGCTGCTGGAGTTACGCAACTGCAGCCTCACTGGTTGTTTTTTTTTAGCTGTGTTGGGTTTTTTTTACACTACAGCGGCAAATCCTGCTGACTCGTGAAAAATCTCATCATGTATCTATATAAACCTCCCACCACTGACATTATTTTAATTGCCACATATAATAGAAACAAAAAGCCAAAATGATCAATAATTAAAGCAGCAGTAAACAGCGGTGATCAGACGCGTCGCCGGGCAGATAAAACGTTTATGTTCCACCTATAATGCAGATGAATTATTGATGAGGAGCTGAAAAGTTCTTCAGTTTGGGAGCAGCTGCAGTCTTATTAGGACGCTAAATCCACATCACATTGCACAATACCCTTAAATTGTCACATTCGTGTGTTTTCTTGAATACATTCTTGAGTTTTGGATCAGTTTGTGTTACGATGAAGTCGCCTCTCTGCAGACAGGCAGCCAAAGGATCTGAAGTCTGGCCACCACACAACCAACAGTGAAGCCTGTTAAAGGGCTACACACATATTTATAGAACTAGAGTCACATACAAACTACTATCTTTCAGACAGAACCATTTCTGTACGGTTGTTATTCCATACAGATGCATTTTAATGGCAAACCCAACCCACATCCAGCCAAACAGTTCTGACCAACCAGGAAATGTTCATATTTCATATTATTGTCAAAGTGTTTAGAGAGTTTAAAAGTGTTTCAAAGTTTTTCGATGTAAATAAAGACGTCTGTGAAGAGCCTCAGTCCTCCAGGTCGTGGTTATGCTCGTAGATTAATCGTAGCAGCTGGACTTGCTTGAGTTCCTTGAAGACGTTTCATGCAAGAGGCTTCATCATCATCATCATCATCATCAAATGGTTTGAGAAAGGGGTGAAAGAAGCCATCTATGTCAAACCATAAAGACCGTCCCTCAGCAGAGGTGGAGGTCTGAGGCATCACCTCTCACCTGTTTACAGTTCAGTCCTAAGAGCTCTCCCCAGGAAGATGAAACCACATCCACACCTCGCCACAAAGACCCTAACGAACCCCATTGTGGCAGGAGGAGCACTAACGACTAGACGAGGGGGAGGAGCAACAAACCCCCAATTGAAACCGAAGCTCAGGTGTTAATGGCTCCTAAAGGACATAAGTGTCTGGAACTCCCAACTAGTCAGTCAGAGCCGATGAAGTCTCCTGGATGAGAGGTGGAACGTCTTCAAGGAACTCAAGCAAGTCCAGCTGCTACGATTAAACTACCAAAATAACTGTAAATAAAGAATCTGGTTTCATTACTGTGACTTCAGTTGAACCTCTTGTACGGCCGGTTACAGACTGCAGGGATGAAACCTACTTTGGAAAAACTCTGGAAACAAGCGATACAAACTGCTGAACAATGTAAGACTGACCCAGAACCCAAAGGAACAAAAGGCTGGATGGACATCGTGTTACGTCTCAAGTAGGTCGGTGTCCTGAGCAGAACAGGGACGCTGGCGTGTTTCGCTTATTAGACTGTATATGAGCTCTTATGTGCCGCTACATGACAGTCCTGCCTGCTTCAGCAAACGATAGTGCCCCAAAAAAATGGCCTTCAGCGAAAATGTGCCACCCCAAAGTGAGTAATCGTCTCAGTCTGGCCACCCTTATTAAAATAGTTTGGTTCCGCCACTGTCTGCAGGTGAGAAGTTAAAACAGTAATGACTCAATTTCAGATTATTTACAGACTAAAATTGTTTAGAAGATATCAACATCTTCACAGACAAAAACCTCTCATCCATCTACCAAAAAACCTTTTAATAACAGCATTAAAACTATCGGATGCTTTGCTGAGACGAGTTGTCTTCCTGGAAACTATCACAGCAAAGCAATGATCATCTTAGTGGCAAACGTGCCAACATAAATAAAACACTCTGTATAGAAAGGGCTGCAATCTTCATAAGAATGCATGCTCTCATATTTACTGCCTCACTGTCCCTGTTTCCAAAAATCAAGAAGACAAATTCAAGCATCACTAAAACTGCTCCATGCAATAAATGTGGACCTGCAGGTTGAACAATACATCTGGCCTGCATGCATCTTTGCAACATCTTCAATATTTCCATTGTTATTTATTCATCTATTGTGTCTTAAACATATTACATGATGCTGCAAACCATTTTATTCTATCTTCTGACACACTAAAGGTTCCCTTCACATCACATTTCCTGGAATTATTCATCTAATAAAGGACATGAGTGGCCCTTAAATCATCATGAGGCAAAACGATTGGTCTTCAGTTGCATCTAAACCACATCATTAACAAATAATTTCTCTTCCACAAGAGCAGCCTACTTGTTTCATGGACATTTCTTGAAGAATATCATGAGAACACGCTGTTACACTCATGCGACTTCTTACATAATTCATCAGTGCCTTGAAATGCACAGTCAGTAAAACTGTTTAGAAAACTGTTGTACTTTACATTTAAAGTGTTGATTCTGTTTTCCAATAAATTACACAAAAATAACATTTACTTTTGCATCCCAGCCCTGTGCAGCAGCCCATAATAATAATAATAATAATAATAAAGACAAATAAATTAAAAATTAAGCATCACTTAATTGTTGTTTTCTTTGTCGAATCAAACTCACCGCTGGAGCGCCGGACGATGTTTTCCAGGAAGGTGTTCTGCGGAGCCACCAGCCCTCTCTTGCCCCCATGCATCCTGGAGGATCAGGACGGAGCTCGGTGCTGTTCGGTGGAGGAGCTGGTGGTAACTGTCCCCTCTGCGGACCGACCGACGGGACCACAGCAGTCAAGCTAAGCACAATGAGGAAGTGTGTGTCCGGGCTGAGGTTTCACAAATAAAAGCCCCCAAATGCAAAGTGCAGATTGATCATGTGGAATGAAGCGTAAACGGAGATGAATGTGAGCAAATTGTCATTTTTATTTATGAGTGTTCAACAACCTCATTAGGCAGCATCTTCACTCCTTGAATGAAAATCACTTCCCCGTATATCTTCAGCAAACATTACATGACATTAGACCATTTTATTATTGTCATTATTCGATATTTTGCATTTATTGGATCACTGCAGTACAGTCAGACAGGAAACACGTGTCCTGACTGCAACAAATAATCAATTAGCTGCTTACCAATAAATTAAAATAAAAGAAAAAGAAAAAAAAATGTGTTTGCATAATTTTTCAAGATAAACTGGTTATCTTATAGGCAAAACAACACATTGTCCATCTTGGGATGATCCACATTTTTCAGCATTTTTGAACATTTTATGGACCAAATAACTTAATCTCCATCGAGAATCATCCAGCCGGTCTCCCCAAATGAGCCCTTGCATCTAAAAAAAAAATGCATTTATTATGAAGGAACCTCCATTGAGTTTCTAGTTTTGTTCCGGTGTTAATTTCTCAAACTTTACAGACACATGGCCTGAAATTTCTGATTCTGTGTAAAGTGTCTGATTGGTTATGAATATAGTTGGGACTTAATTATATTAATCATGTCTATAACGTGAGACTTTATTCCATGTTCCCTTTTTTATTTATGCATTTATTTTTTTTAAATAAATGTAACTGAAAAATGTCAGCACATATATTAGGATTAATATAACTTCAATATGCTATTTGAAATTAAATGATCAATGTAATGAAAATGTAATTCTATATTCTATATGGCTATGTGGACACCAACATATAAAAAATAGTTAAGAAAGAGGAAATTTCAAATTAAGTCTTAAAATTATAAGAACTTTCAATACAGTTCTTAGATAGTGATATATTTTATTGCACTTTATATTTATTGCTCCACCACATTTAATAACAACAACAATTTCTGTGTCCCAGAGATTAAGTGTTCTGGTGAGAAATGTGCGAATCAACCCCAGAACAGAAGCTGAAGACCTTGTGAAGATGCTGCTGAAGCTGGTCAGAGAGTCATTATCCACAGTGGAACCAGTCCTGTACCGACATGGGCTGGAAGGCTGCTCAGAGAGGAAGAAGACATCACTCCAGAAGAAACATGAAAAAGCCAGATTACAGTTTGTAGATGCACACAGGGACAAAGAGCTTCATCAGTGGAGACATGTCCTGTGGTCTGATGGAACTAAACCTGAACTGTTTGGCCTTAATGACCATCGTTACATTTGGAGGGAAAAGGAGGAAGCTTGAAGCCTGAGAACACCATCCCAGCTGTGAAGCACGGGGGTGGCAGCATCATGCTGTGGAGGGACTGGTGCACTTCACAGAATAGATGGCATCATGAGGAAAGAACATTATGTGGAAATAATGAAGCAACATCTCCAGACATCAGCCAGGAAGTTAAAGCTTGGACACTAATGGGTCTTCAGATGGACAATGACCCTCAGCATACTGCTAGATTAGACACAGAGAGGCTTCAGGACGACAAAGTCAGTGGTTGTGGAGTCACAAAGCCCTGATCTCAGTCCTGGAGAACATTAGTGGGCAGAGCTGAAGAGGCGTGTGGAGCAAGGAGGCCAACAAACCTGACTCAGTTTCAGCAGTTCTGTCAGGAGGAATGCGCCAGAATTCATCAAACTATTGTGAGAAGCTTGCGGAAGGAAAAACATTTGACCCAAGTCATACAGTTGAAAGGCAACCAAAAGGCTACCAAATACTAAAGAAATGGATGTAAACTTCTGACTTTGAAGAAAGTAATAAAAAAAAGTTATCTCTCTCATTATTCTGGCATTTAACAAATAAAAATAATGTTGGTAATCCTAACTGACCTAAAACAGAAAAAAAGTTTTGTCTGATTTCATGTCAGATCGTGAGAAATAAAAAGGTTATGTGTCTTTTTATACAGTGGATGTAAACTTCTGGTTTCAACTGTGTATGAACAGTCACTAAAATATAATGAATTATATATTAAACTACCCAAATAAACCCCACCGTAACACCAACATTAAAATTACAAAACCAAATAAATGAGACAATAGATTTTTTTTAATTGAATAATTAATTAAATAGTTTTTTTCCCTATTATTAAAACATTTTTTCCTAACAACCCAGTTATTTATTTCAAGATTTAGTTCAAAGCCATATTTATTAGTTATGTATTTATTTTAGGAATATTTAGTGATTTATTTGCATTGAATTATATTTCTGTGCCTATGGAATATGAAATGTCGTTTTATATCTTTCAAAAATATGTATTTTAGGAAATAAATATTAATATTAAATAAATAAAAGATTGTGAAACAAATTCTGAAATAAATCAATGAATTTTTTCAAATACATGAATAATTTTTTTATATTTTTTAAAAATTTTTAAAATGATATTTTTCAGAGGACTTTATTAATTTCCTACTGTCCCATTTATTTGCCAACAATAGTGTTTATTTATTCATGAGTCTATTTTTGACCATGTGTAATGTATCGCTTGTCCAGCAGGGGGCGGCGCTCGGACATGTTCGCCTTTGATCGACCAACACTGAGTCACGCGAAGAAGACGTGGAGCCGACGAAGAAGAAGCAGCCGAGCGAAAGCAGGAATAACGGCCTGACGCAGTTAGTCGGTGCCTCTATGAATTAGCGGCGTATATCGTGAAGTAATGGTTAACTGTGCCGGACTTTGGATGCTGCCGGCCACAACTTCCACGCTGCTGTACAAGGTCGGTGTTTTGGGCGCAGATATCAGGTCGTAGCGAAGCGTCGCTGCCGCTGTTGGCTCACTCTGTGGTTTCAGTCCGTGAACAGGAATGCATCGGCCGCCGAGCCGCACTTCTGCTTAGCTTCCTCTACGATGAGCTCCATTTTCACGACGGAACAGCGCTGTGTGTAGTTTAAAGTCGTCTGAATTAGCTGAAGCCATGGCGAACGTCTTCCTGAAGACGTTTGTGCAGATGTGTAATTATCTCCAGGACCCCTGCCATGTCGCGAGGTTTCAACATTTCTGCGGCATTAAAGGAACATTCCCGGATAAAGCGACCAAGCCGGACAGCGGACGCCCGGAGCCGGACCGTCCCGGGCTGAGGAGGAGGCAGGAGGGACGGAGCTCAGATGTTAGCGTCGGCAACGGAGCCGCCGGGGATGCCGCCGCTCCGCAGGTTAACGGGATGCAGGGCGACGATGCCGGCAGTCCCGGTGCTCCATCAGCTGACTCGGACACCACCAGAGCGAAGCCCCTCCGGAGGAACTCCCTGACCGGGGACGTGGGTCAGGAGTTCCTGGTCCACAACAAGTTTCTCTTCTACCTGTTCACGTTCGGGACTGAGCTGGGCAACGAGATGTTCTTCATCGTCTTCTTCCCATTCCTCTTCTGGAACATCGACGCCCTGGTGAGCCGGAGACTCATCGTGGTCTGGGCCTGGAACCTGTTCGTGGGTCAGTCCACCAAGGACATGGTGCGCTGGTCCCGGCCGGCCTCCCCTCCGGTGGTGAAGGTGGAGGTCTTCTACAACTCCGAGTACAGCATGCCCTCCACCCACGCCATGACGGGCACGGCCATACCGTTCTGCCTCTTCATGCTGACCTACGGCCGGTGGCAGGTGAGCAGGTCTAATGAAGCATCAGACAAAGTGTGTAGACCTGGTCAGGCTGAGACCCCCAAGGGCCCCAAAGGCTCCAGGGTTATTGACTGGCAGTTGTGGTAATTTGATAAACTGATTATTTAGTTGAGGCCAATTATTTTAATAATCACTTTTCTGTTTAACTTTAAGCAGTAATGTTTAAAAGTTCACTGGCTCCAGATTCTTAAATGTGAATATTCCCTGCAACCCTTATAGATATTCCAATAAACTTCCACAATATAGACTTTTTTATGTACCCCAAACCTTCAAAAAAATTTATTTATAAGTATGCAAATGAGTGATGATCTCCTTAAACATGCACTCATTTGCACACATTTCCAAAACAGAAATCTGAACACTAAGTAAAGCGACGCTCAAACTTTTTGTTTAATTTAGTTGACATAATAAATTTGTCTTTTTTACAAAGGGGATCACTTTTTTGTGCTGCCATAAATCAGAAAATACTCTCAACAGCCAAAAAAAAACCCCCTATTTTGCCATGTTTTTAGAAATAAAATGTTCACTAAATCAGGCTGCAAATGTAAATGAACAAACCTCTCCGTAAAAACATTCAAACATAGAGATCAAATTAAAGAGTTGGGGTTTGTGGTTTAGCGTTTCAGAATAAACTGCCTTAAAAGACAAATGTTCTAATTGAAATCTACAGACACAAATATACAGCATGTTGTAAAATAAACTCCTAAACATGCATTTTAAACAAAATTGCTCAGTGCATGAAAAATCTATGTCATGTCTGGTTTTTACTTTGACATGATTACAGCCCACATGGTCAGAGTGTTAATGTGTGCCCTTAATCATTACACATTACACCTTAGGTTGGCACCGTCTGGTTTTTAGATTCATGAAGTGGCAACAGTCTCCTGAAAAAGATTTTGTGCTTAACTCTAGTCTAAAACATTGAATAGATTTAGGTTTGAAGTTTGCAGTCACCAGTTTGCAGCAGCTGAAGTTTACCCACGTTTGACCCACATTTAAACTGTCGCGTCAGTGGTTTTCATTCTTGTGCAACTTCTTCTTTGTGCGACAGTCAGGCTTTCGATGGCATCTCGTGATGATGCTCAATCACATGTTTTAGAAAAAAATATTCAAATCACAAATATTTTCCCCAAAATTGTTCAACCCCGTTTAATTCCACAAACTCACTGACATCCAGCCCAGCAGGGGAAGTTGGTGTTTGAGATGCTGAAACACAACAGGATACATAAAAGGAACGGAGGGTTATAGAGGTTGCACAGCTCATGTTTAGCCGCAGGGATCCGTACAGTGTTAGTCCATCCCTAAAGCAAAGGGGTCAGACTGTGACAAACTGCAGCCTGATACATCTAAAACACTATGATGCTACACCAAAGTTCCTGTTCACTGTGTTCCCTCAGATTTCAGTGATCTGGTCGTAGCAGACAGGATATGAACTCATGTTGATTAGCCACAGGGCAGATGGGCAGACGCACCAAGGTCGCCAACATTCAAGGGCCCCAACATTTTGTCTTTCAGTATCTGTTAAAGTAACAATCTGCATTTACATCCAGGGTACCTGACCTAATAATGTGAAGAAAGCCCGGCTTACAGTCTTTTCTCAGTGTCAGGGAGGGTCAGCAGGTCAGTCTGGCCAGAGGAATGAAAAAGCACAGACTACCTTTAAATCCTGCTTAATCCTGTGAGCCCAGGCTTTTATTGAAAAATATCAAAACCATCAAAGCATATCAGTTCAAGCTGACACTTGCAGCTGTTGCACCCGTACAAGACAGCATACATTCCTCAGTGTAAGTGGACTGACCGGGTTTGCCAGAGAGGCGCAGATAAACAAAGACTCGCTGTTCTGCATTGTCCGAGTGAGTTAAGGAAGTAGTGGCTTAGAGGTGGAGAAAGTTCTGAAGTTTTTCTGTTTAGCAATAAGAGAAAGTGAGTTGGGAAGGTCTCTCAAGGCAGTTCCACTGTTTTCCACCACGAGCTATTGCCTACATCACAAAGTAGGATGAAGATAAATGACAAAGACACTAAATCTAATGTTTTTTATGAATGAAACATCAGTGAAAATGAATAAAAAAAGTGTTATCAGTCTGTTGTATGTATAAATATTTACTCTGCCCTCCTTGGTGACTAAAGTAAGCCACATTTCATACACTTAGTGTGTGCCAGTTTCTTTACAAATTACAGATAATCATAAGCTGATAGTTGTATTTGATAGTGAAGCAGAGAAAAATTAAATACCCGTCTCTTCATAAATCGAGAGTAGAAACAACCTATTCTGGATTTGAGTGTTTTTTCTTTTTCTTTTTTTTTTAAATCTACAAATGTGCATAACAGAAGCAAAGTGTTTGATAAGGATCAATGGTCCTACGTGGTGCACATGCCGTGACATAACGACCTGATAAGGTAAATGATCAGCAGCCCAGAAGATAGATGAAGGCGCTAGCTGTTAAAGAAACGGTGATGTAGCCGGTGGCAGCGACAGATAACAGAACGGTCAGAGAGGGAGGATATGTCGTGTTTAACGGGGGAGAGAAAAAGCAGGGGAAGCGATGCGCCAAGAGCTTAGCACCAGGAAGAAAGAGCTGAGCATGTGAAATAGGTTTTCTGTTGTTTCTAGACACTTGCATAAAGGCTCTGAACCGAATTTAGGCAGCTGACTGAACTGGCTGAACTTTCTTAGTGTCATCAGGTTTCTTGCCGTGTCATGACTTTGAGACTAGAAGAACTGAAACTTTTCAGAAAAAGAGATTACGGAGGGTTAAACAAGATAAGATGTGGGTCATAAACCGCATTCAAGGCTGGTGGAAGATTCAAAGGGGCTTCTAGTGTGAAAAGACAGCGTTGTCGACCTGTGGCTGTGAGGATGGTGGTCGATCAATAAACAGATATTAATAGTTTACAGGAGATGAACCCTACAGACCTTGGTGACTCTGTGACCTTTCCTCCAGTGCTAAAATGAACCTGACTATTCTGGTTTTGAGGTAAATGTCTCAACAAGTATCGGATAGATCCCCATGAAACTTACCTCATGCATGTTCCCCTCAGGATAAACTATAATCAAATTTGCAAACCTGACTTTTCATCCAAAGCCAACATCAGACCACAGTGTTAAATTTCCCAGAACTAACATTCCCACAAGCTTCAGTTCAATTTTGTGCAGCGCCGCTCAGCAGAGCTCGAGGTTGTAATCATGGAAAGCATATCTGCTAAACAGTGTTGTCATAGTGGGTTGCTGATGTTTGCATTTAACTTGATGCACTGCGGTGCCAAAGTACAGACGGACAGCGCTCAGCGTAGCCGGTGGAGACTACGTTTGTTTTCACACAGTGACCTTTGCATGAATTCTTTCAAGGACAGCTATCGGCTAAATGTCTACTATCTGCCTCCTATCTGCTCTTCACAGGGGAGTTTGAAAGCTGTCATGTTCACTGACATTAAACTGTTCTGGTTGCTTTACATGAAACGATCATGCTTCTGTTAATGCCCTCTTGCTGCCTTGTGCTCACTCTCAGCAGGATGTTAGAAACATCTGGCAAAATGGCTGCTCTCGAGACGTTCTCTGTTCCCCGAAGCCGTAGTCTGGATGTTTGGAGAGTCCAGAGCCTTTCAGGCACCTTTCTGTTCACTTCTTAATGCAGCGTTCTTTATGTTCTCTCTTCTAGTACCCTTTCCTCTTCGGCTTCTCTGTGGCTCTCGGCTGGAGCGTCTTGGTCTGTGTAAGCCGAGTCTACATGGGGATGCATTCTGTTCTGGTAAGAAGATTCAATCATTCCAATCCAATAAATATTCCCTCACTGAGATATGAACTATAAGCTGACTGCTTGCTCCACCTGGACCTGTTCACTTCCTGTCACCCGCAGGCCTTTTGCCATTTATCCTATTGTCCAAACTCAACCAGTCTGGTGAAATGTTCTCGAGGAAACTTTGGAGGAGTAAAACGAATTGCCTTGAACTTCTGGTGTCGTTAATAATATATTTTATAATTTAATGTGCACCTCAAATACACCTGCTGTAGTTCCTTCTTTCATATGCTCAGGTTACGTCTCAGCCTCTGACATCACCTGCACATATTTCAGGTGTTTTCGGAGTGGACACATTCCTGTGAGAGGAGCTGTTAGACCAGTTGTTGAGATCCAGATTCTATCAGGACAGCGGTTAGCATTAAGAACAGGTTTCAGAAGTTTAATACAGAAGGAGCGGTTTCATTTTGTTTCACTTCCGCCTACCGATTACTAAACAAATGTCACTCAAGCTGGCTTCAAGTAATATTGAGGAAAGCGGGAAAGAGACGGTGCAGTTGTGATTACTTCATCTGTTTCTGCTGATAACATTTATCCACGATGAAGCAGCACAACTCTGCTGCTGCTGCCGGAGGACACGGTTGTAATATTACATGACCAGACAACACCGGAGACGTTCTGCTTATCTCGACGCATTACCGTTGGCTAAAGTGACTGTTCTCCTCCTTATAGCAACACTTCAGTGTGAGTGCAGAGCGCTGCGACTTCTCCCACACACTGAGTTTCACTTCCTTTAACGAACCCAGTAGCCTGTGAAACCACCTTCCTCATAGGGGACTGTGTCAACCTCACGTGTTAAAGAACATAGAAACTGTATGAAAGCCTGTTATTATTAAGAGTCGGTCTGTCTTGATAGACAGAGATGGGCAGCGGTGGTAAGTAAAAATACAACACTGTTGAAGTCTGCTTTAAAATATTACTTAAAGTATTTCTGTATAATCAGGAATATGTAGTATGATAATAAAAGGAAACGATCTCCAGTGGGTGATCAAATAATATTTATTGATAAAGCACATTTAAAACAACAGGAGTTGAACCAAAGTGCTCTACAATTATCAGCAGCAACCCAACAGACATAAACACAACGACTAAAAAGACAAATCTGAACAAAAACACACTAAAAGAAAGACACAACCCAATAGAAGATTAAATCAGGAGATGAGGTGGTCTTCAGCAGTGACTTTAAGGTTTCTACAGTCTCAGCCGGTCTTACATGAACTGCTGTATAATACTGTTTATCATTAATTATCACTCGGACATTAGTGCAAAAGCAGGAAGTAACTCCAAGCATGTGCCTGTCAAAGAATCTGAATTTTCTTAAAAAGCAAATTCCTATCGCTTGTTTATTGCTGTTTACGTCACCATCAATAGATTTTCTTGGTTCGGTATATTTCTTACTGTTTTTGAAATAGAAGAAATTGAGGGTGTAGTGTTTTTAATCTGCTGCTTTGTTTTGGATAAACCTAATTAAACTATCTCTTAGCTGTTTGTTGGATGGTCTCTTCCAGCCAGCTAACATTCACAATAAATGCAAAAGCTCCGGACTCTATGAAGACGATCAGTCATGAAAGAAATAATACACGACTGTTGTAGTTCTCATTTGACATATTACAATACTTGTGTAATGTAGTAAAGTACATAACTGACCCTTCTAACATGCTGATAGCACACAGAGGAACTTAAAATTTATGATTCCAGGAAAGTTGCATGTATGCAGGGCCAATAAACAAATGAAGCCAGCAGATAAGGTTAGATTAGAGCGACCTTGCAGCTTGTGACCCGTCACCGATATCACACGATGCTGTTTACGTTGTGCATCCTCCAATAGTAGCGCCTTCTCATTAGTCAGCAGATGGAGTGATTTTCTAGGAATTTTTTGTACCTCCTCAGAAAGCGGCCACTTAAGTGAGAGGTGATGTGTGGCGCCTCCCTCTGGGCAGGAAGCAGAACAGGTTTTTCCTTTTGTTTGTTTATCTGTTGATGTAGAAACTGTTGCTATAAGAGTTTGGACTTTGTGTGCTCCACTTTTAGTGCATTGAAAGCAATGTTGGAGAGTTTTATTTTAGATTAAAACATGCATCATCAGTCATAAATGCAGTAGCCTTCTTTCTCTTTACTCACTGCTACTCAAACTGGGTTTCAAAGCTTCTATACATCCATCCATTATCTACACACCGCTTGATCCTCACTGGGGTCGCAGGGGGCTGGAGTCTATCCCAGCTGACTCAGGGTGAAGGCAGGGGACACCTGGACAGGTAGATAAGATATGCCTTTATTTATCTGACACTGGAGAAATTCACAGTGTTGTCAGCAGCAGTACACACAGAAATACACACATACAAGAAGAACAATGTACATGTAAGAAATAGGGCAAACACAAGTATAAAAACACCCATAAAAAAGAGAATAGTGCAAGTATAGAATATAAGAATGGGGATATATGGAAAAGACATATTTATTTATATATATATATGAAAGCTATAGAAAATAAGGAATAATAATAATACTAAACAGCAGTGCAATTGCAAATATATAATAACCAGTGTTGAAAAATAAATATTTCTAAATAACCAGTCTATCACAGGGCTACACTTAGAGACAGGCAACTACTTACGGATAATTTAGAATCACCAGTTAACCTCAGCATGTTTCTGGACTGTGGGAGGAATCCGGAGAATCCAGAGAGAACCCACGCTGCACGGGGAGAACGTGGAGACTCCACGCAGAAAGATCCCTGGTGTCCTCACGCGAACCGGCGACCTTCTAGCTGTGAGGCGACGGTGATAACCACCTTGCAACCAGCTTTTATACATCTGGTTTAAAATGTGTTCTGTCCTTGTGTTGCAGGAGGTGATCACCGGCTTCCTGTACAGCCTCCTTATTCTTGCCTTTTTCCAGCCAATCCTGGACAAGATCGACACCTACTACATGATGGACCACTATGCTCCGCTCATGATCATCGTGTCACATGTGAGCCTGGGACTTGTGGCTTTCTCTCTGGATTCGTGGAGCACGTCTCGGGGCGACACGGCTCAGGCTCTGGGCACCGGGGCCGGAAGCGCTCTGGCCACCCACGCGAACTATCAGCTGGGGCTGCTGCTGGACCCGCCGCTGTCCTCGCTTCCGCTGACGTTACCCCCGCTCGGCATCGGGATGGTGCTGCGCTCCCTGCTGCGCTTCTTCATCGGAGTCGCCGTCATCCTCGTCACGAGAATGGTTATGAAAGCAGTGACTATCCCGTTCTTATGCCGACTGTTCGGGCTGCCCTCGGATGACGTGAGACAGGCGAGGCAGCACATGAAAGTGGAGTTGCCGTATCGTTACATCGTCTACAGTGTTGTGGGTTTTGTTTGTGTCAGCTTTGTGCCTCTCCTCTTTAGGATCTTCAACCTCGCCTAAGTGTTGTGTGCGAACCGTCACGTCCTGCTGACACGTAAGCCGACACGGTGAAAGCCAACAGCACTCGGAAACATGCTGCTTGTTTTGACACAAGGTACAGGCTGTGTTTCTGCATGATAGAAGCTGTTTTAAAGGATAAATCCGATGATATTATACATTTTTGCTGTCAGTGAATCCCATCAAAAGACCAAAACCAACAGTGAACTGATCCTCAGTATCGTCTGTGTTGCCAAAACCTGTTATAGCTTATTGAAGAAATATTTTTTTGACATAAATGAGCAGCACTGGGTGACATGTTTGTTTCTAATTTACTGGCCAAATCCCACATATGCAGTTTCGCTGCTATAAATAAATCACAGGTGTGTAGTTTGTGTTAATCTGTGGCTTTAAGCAACACACAGCACGTGCACTCTTTACATTAAGTGTTATAAAACCAACAGTGCCCACATGTTTTTGGAAAGTTTTTTGAATAAACAAATTAAAGTATTTATTAGTGTCCAGTTTTAAAGCTCTTACAGCTTAAAGCCGACAGCCACAAAGATTGAAAGTATGAAAACAGACGATCACGTTGTCGGTTTTGGTCTTTTCATGGGATTCGTTCACCGAATACGTCGATATCACCGGCCTTATCCTTTAAGTTCCACCTGTGGTCGACACATTTGAGTGTTAAACTGGAACTTTGCAGAGATACAAATCTGCCAGATGTACTGTATTGATGCTTGTATTCATCAATAAGGAGACTATTGTACATTTCCGTCGTTCATCAGAGTATACAGTCATATGTTAACGGGGAGTTACGCGCTCTAGAAATAAACCAAGTCTGAAGTCACCTCACTTCTCATCTGTTGCCGTGTTTAAGTCGAAAACAGCCTGGAAGCAATAAAAAGTACTGAAGGTATTTAAGTTGTCGGGGTAGTTAATGATCTTTATTTAAATACTGAAGGCTTCTCAGCTTTGAGCAGGTCTGTTTGTGTCACGGCTGTTTTTCTACATTACCATAGTCAGCATTATCTTGTCGCCTCTCTTTTGTATTTTTCTTGTGCCACAAAATTGTTTATTTGTAATTTTGGCCCAAATGTAAGTTAAGTGCTCTCCGAAATGGTCTTTGGAAGGTCGAGGATTAAGTAAAAGCAAGTATTTTTGATAAATTATTTTACCATTGTGACGAGCTGAATTGTTGCTCCAGACAAACGAGATCTGAATATATATTGTTCGTATTTTATTACTATGAATTGCAGAGACATTGCAGCGTTCCTCTAACGGTCTGTTAAAACCTGTCTGATTGTTGTAACTGTTTGCAATCTGTTGTATTCTTTTAAAAATGGTTAACTGAATTATTAAAGTTCGAGTATTAAGGCCCGACTAATGTATATCACCAGAACTTATAGGGCTATTTATAGGTCTGCTATTATCATCAATTATCCCATCTTTTTATTTTATTTTTTTTCCTGTTGTGCAAGAAATGTCCGCTGAAAACGTATGGAAACAAAAAAATAAAACATTAACAAAAGCGTTGCTCTATGGTTTTTGTAAGAGAAAATCACATGAGGGTCAATATTTCATAGCGTGTTGCTGTTGTGGGTGTTTGGATGTGGATTACATGTCATTTCAGGTACTTCTTAGCCTAATAAAAGTAAAGACAGTAAGAATATGAACATCTGTCCACATCTGTCAGCGGTAATACTCAATAATATCAATGCAAGAACATCACCAAGTATGTCTGACAAAAAAAAAAAGAATTTTTCCCTCATGGAAACGTCCTTTTGTGTCTCAACAGACTAAAACTCTGTAATAATAGTTTTAATAACAACTTCATTTGTTTAGCACCTACACATAATGCAACTAAATAAGATCCAAAACCTATAATATCACAAGATAAAGTAAATTTGTACAAGCCATATGATAAAAAATACATTCTTTTTTCATAACAGTAACTAACCGCATTGTGCAGCAAGTTGTTTTTATTATTTAACTCAGCAGTAGGAAATTACAACACCCCACAATAACAATACAGAATCAAGACCTCTGCTTAAGCAAAATGTAAATATGATCATCCCAAAGAAGGAGGTATTAATTGTTCTGTTAGACTCCAGTTAAACCTACATGTACCTGTTCAAGTATAGTAATAAAATAATATTAAATAAGTAATAACAAAAAGAAGAAAAGAACTGCCGTGATCAAACTGTTTAAATTTGGTTTTGATGTCTGATAAAGTCACATCATGACGAGTGTTTTCACAATAATTTGACTTTTTTTTTACAAGAATTTGCATTAAAAAAAATCCTCTTTCATGTTTAGCCCTGTTCAGGACTTTCATGTTTCCATACGTAGAAGGTCTATCAGGGTCCATTTGACCTCAAGAAAGAATATATGCAAAATATTTGTTGGTATTCATTGTAGACTTTTATACTATGTTCAATACATTTTCTGATAAGTTGATGTATTTTTGGTTCCAAGTGCACGACAAATGTCCCTCTTCTTATGTTTAAAAAAAATCTTCAAAAATAAAACAAAATAAAACAATACCTGTCACCTAAACCAAATAGCCTGGGGTCCAAAAAAACCCAACAGGGTCAAGTGAAAACAGATTTCTATAAAATAAAAAGTCAAATAATAAAAAATATAAATTGCAAAATAAAAAACTGTATTCACCAGCTATAAAGTGACCCGCCTAAGTTAACACAGATTTCGTACAGTTCGTTCAGAGATCATCTGAGTGCTGCCTGAAGTGATTGTAGCATAAAGACAACCTTATCTGAAAGGCACTGATGAATCAGTACTCACCACGGAGGCAAGAAAAAAAATTTTTGCTGAGACTTTTATTTTGAAAACGGAACTTTTATTTTTGGAGAAAACGTGCGTGACCGGAAAAGCCGCGAGTCTGCAGATTCTACTTTCACGGACCAAAACATTCAGCAGCAGCTGATGACAGCGGAGGCAGTGAGACAGGAGGACGTGCTGCCTTTATTCAACGTTTAATGAAGCTTTAAAGGAAGTTGTTGTTGTTTCAGACACGTTAGTTAAAAGTCGCGTCGACCTGCTTTTACTGAGTTTGTCAGTTAGCTTGACCTGCTGCATGAAGTTAGCTCACATGACATAAACATAAGGTTTCATTTGGAGGAAACGTCAGACTGTGCAGATGCCTCGTCTGGAGAAGAACAGCAGAGGGACCAAAAGGTAAAACTCACCTGCAGACAAACTCACCTGTAGCCTCCAGCACAGGGACACATCCACTGACTGCTAACAAGCTAACTAGCTGCTCTGTGCCTGAACAGATAAATGCTGAGGCTGCTCTTACATGTACTTAAATATTTGTTAAACCTTTGAATTTTGTATATTTATACATGAATATAACCAAAAACGTCACTTTTTAAAAATATACAGCCAATAAGAGTAGATTAGGAGAACCCACTTAGTCACACAAGTCAAAAATATTATCCTTTATTACATGTGTGTACATATGGATGTGTCAGTAGATGATGTTATGTTGGTGCTGCAGTATAAGGATGTATACTCATTTAAAATTTGATTCAGAAAAGTTTATTCAGGCTGTTTGAATGCATTAATGGTGATACTCATACCTTTTGTGGGCCAGAATTTTAAATCATTTTACTTGTACTTAATGCATTCTGTGACAGTCTGTAGTTGCTCTGACGCCACTTTGGTTCGTCTGTACTTCCTTCTTCTCTTCTAGAATAATTTAGGTCAGTGAATGTGTCAGAAATATTCTCTGCCACAGCATGAACACAGAAAGTAGGTTATACTAATATGCTTCACTCACTCCCCGTCGTTCTCTCCACAACTCAGGCTACGACTAGACTGGAAGTTTGTCCAGAGGTTCTGCAGCATCCAGAAGGTCCTGTTCCCGTCATGGTCCAGTCAGAGCGTCCTGATGTTTGGTACGCTGCTTGTCGTCACTCTGACAGGTAACGGTTACAAACACTTTTTGTGCAAGAGGGGAATTACGACAGAAAAAAAAGGAAATTAAATTGCTGCAATTAAGCTGGCTTTGAAAGGCTGAGCTTGGTGTCTCTGCTTCACTTCTTAGAGTTGCGTTTTTTCTTCTCACTGACCTTTAGCTCAAAGCCTGATTTCCTCGTTTGGTTTTTACAGGTCTCCGTTTGAACCGAATGTGCTAACACGTCTTTTTTTTTTTCCTGCCATCAGAGCAGCTGATCATTTACCAAGTGGGAGTCCTTCCCAGTCACTTCTACAATGTGCTGGCAGACAAAGACTACTCAGGCTTCAGGAATCTGGTGGGCACAGCCATGGCGCTCATTTTAGTCAACTCCACAGTAAGTTCATGTCACGAGTCGACCTGGCGCGGCAGCATTCGTCTGTCGCTTTAGGTCCTGATTTTACAACTTTGCTGTACGTGGAATTTGACCTTTCAACACGTTTTACTGTTCATTCAAGTCCTCATTGTAGTGGTCCTTAAACACTTGTCAGTCCTTCAGAATTTTCTATATTTCCAAAGAGTTTCATACAAGAACTAAAAGTAGATAAAAAGACCCAACTGAATCAGTCACACATCTGATATATTTACGTGTCTGTGAGTGGGAAAAGCATGCAAACCTGCAGGATTCACAACTAACCCAAAGGTGAAATTAGAGTCAAGCGTTTCCAATCAATGGGACGATAATCAGGAGTGTGTGGGTGCTCTGCTCTATTTAAAGAGCAGGGACCTTCACATGACATGTTTGAAGTGTATCACGGCACAAGCAAAGAAGAGTTCAGAGGACCTCAGGAAAACAGATGCTGTTGCTAATCAGGTGGGAAAAGACGACAGACTCATCTCTAAAGACTTTGGACTCCACCGGGAAATTTAAGACCTTCAAAACTTTACTTTATTCAACTTTAAATCACTAAATTTGTGAGGGCAAAATGGGAAAACAGTGCATGAGAGACAGTTAAGATACAGGTGCATGTCTCGTTGCATTAGTACATTCAATACAGTACTCAAAAAAGACAATTGAGACAACCAGCTAATCACAAACAGTGACAAAACTGAGTTTAGATAAGAGAACAGACGAAGGACAGAGATAAAAGCCAAGCTGAGTGACCACCTCAGAAGTGGTTGACAATAAAGATCAAGGTGTGAAGTGGTTATGAAAGGTCACCCAGGGTCACCCATGGTCACGAGTCCTCCTGCAGGAGAACATTCAACACCAGTAGTCTGTATGGAAAGACTGCAGAGAGGAAACCACTGCTCTCCAAAAGGGAACGTTGCTGCCCATCTGCACTTTGATAATGATCACGTGGACACGTCAGAGGGCTGCTGGACAGATCTTTTGTTGGTGGATGAGACAAAAATAGAGCTTTTTGGTTGAAACGAGAAGTGTTTGGAGAAAGGAGAACACTGCATTGTGAATTGTAAAAGTAAACATCAAGACATCTGTCTATCAAAGAGCGATTATAGAAAAATAAAGAGTAACGCTTTGGACCCTCATCCAATAGAAATGCAGTGGAAGGACCTGAAGTGAGCAGTTGAGGAAACCCACCAGCAAATTAGAGTTGAATCTGTCGTCTACAGAGAAACAGGTGAACATTTCCTTCAAGCTGAAAGCAAAGATTCACAAAGTTTTTTCCACTCACAGATACTCAACATTTGATCGTCATCTTCAATAAATAAATCAATGACTAAGTGTGGTTTGGTTCTCTTTTTCTACTTTGAGGACTTTGGTGAAAATCTGATCATGTTTAGGTCACGTTCATACAGAAATATAGCAAATTCTAAAGAGGTCACCAACTTTCAGACACTGCTCTACATCTGTTCTGTCATTTTCCTTTGTGTGCACCTCTGCTTCTGAACAGTCATCGATGAAAATATCGAACCTTTTTCAGACTGTGCTCACAGTTGCTTTTTACATAAGTTAAACAGAAATACATCCATCCATTGTCTATAGACCGCTTAGTGGCTCGGTGGTTAGCACCGTCGCCTCCCAGCTAGAAGGTCGCCGGTCCCAGTGAGGACACCCGGGATCTTTCTGCGTGGAGTCTCCATGTTCTCCCCGTGCAGCGTGGGTTCTCTCCGGGTTCTCCGGCTTCCTCCCACAGTCCAGAAACATGCTGAGGTTAATTGGTGATTCTAAATTGTCCGTAGGTGTGAATGTGAGTGTGCTTGGTTGTCTGTCTCTAAGTGTAGCCCTGTGATAGACTGGTTACCTGTCCAGGTGAACCTGCCTTCACCCTGAGTCAGCTGGGATAGACTCCAGCCCCCCATGACCCTCGTGAGGATTAAGGTGTAGAGATGATGGATGGATGTTTATTCATCACATCTTTTTAAAAAATCTCAGTTCCCTATAGGTGCTTGTTTGACTTTTTTTTGTTCATGCTGAATGTTAGAAGCAGTAAACAAGTTCTTAAACATTTGATTATAGTAAACACGGCATGTTCAGAAAGGTGACTTGTTTATTGCAGAACTCTGTTATGTTCTTATTATCATTAAGGCAATTAATTTATTGTATACATAAAATATATCTGTACTTATTTCGGGAAAATGCTGTATTATCAATCCGTACATTGTAGATCTGTGCAGACGTGCAATTAAACAAACAAAATCCAAAGACAGCTACATGAGTTCTCATATTTTACTGTGTGAGGTTTTCTTTTGGATTGCGGTTATAATCTGAGCCGCTTCATAAGGTCAGCCTGACATTTTCATTTTATGACCCTAAAACACTTGACCTGACCTGTCCCATGCTGTTGGATTTTAAACCTGCACAACGTGTCACAAAATGAAGAGTTTACTCTGAGGAACTAAACTTTCTACGTCCAGTTTGTTGCTTTTTAGATGAAAACCTGCAGCAGACGTGAGAGATCGTCTGTCGTCTGCATCTTTATTTTTCTCCCTCATTGTGTTCCTGTGTTTCTCTCTCACAGCTGAAAAGTGTCGACCAGTACATTTGCAATCACATGTACGTTAGCTGGAGGAGGACGCTGACTGAGAGCCTCCATTCGGCCTATTTCCAAGGCAGAGTCTACTACACGCTCAATGTGCTCAGAGAGGACATAGACAACCCGTAAGCACACGTGGTTTTCATATGTGTCGGCTTTTTGTCTTAATGTTGACTCAAGTGCAATTTTAATTTTTTAAATAAATGGATTTGTTTGTTGGACTGTCTGTGCAGAGACCAGCGGATCAGTCAGGATGCAGAGAGGCTGTGCAAGCAGATGAGCACGATGGCGAGCCGCCTGATTGTCTCTCCGTTTACTCTGACTTATTACACCTACCACTGCTTTCACAGGTCAGTCGGTTGTCTGGCAACATGCGCACACATCCCACTCTCACTGCACGAAAGACTGATGTTGAAGTCAGAGACATGCAGCACGTAGTACAATACTCTGACAAAATATCACGTCATTGCAGCCACATTTGTGCCTTAGAGAGTCAAAAATATCCATTCATCAGTTTTTAGTTGTTCCATGAGCTCTTTGTTTGTATGAGACAAAAGGGACCTCCTGGCTTTATAAAAGTCAGGAAAACAGGAAAAGCTCACAGTTCCCATGGGCCTGTCTGAACTCTGAAGGTCTGCTAGAGGCTAAAAGAAGTTCGCTGTTAGTTTTTGTTTCATTTTAGCTGCAGCAAAATGACACTTTCAGTATTTCTTTATATGCTTAGAGTTTATTGAAATTCATGTGCAGTGTTGTTTTAGTGTGTTTTAATTCCTTACACTTGTGTTTGAGAGGAGATGATTAAACAAAGTGGCTTTGCTTTGCAGCACCGGCTGGGTCGGTCCTGCGAGCATCTTCGGTTATTTTGTGGTCGGGACCATCGCCAATAAAATCCTCATGGGGCCGATTGTGTCAACTCTGTTTGAGCAAGAAAAGCTGGAGGGAGACTTCAGGTGAGTTCAGCGCATGTCCATCCTGTGTCAGGTGACAGAAACACACAAGTGTCACACAGAATGAGACGGACTGCTTTACGTGGCCGGCCCGCTTGCTCTGCTTGAACTTTAACTGAGTGTTTAGGTGTTTTTTTTTCCGGCTTTATTGGTTATAAATCTTTCCAGTGTTTACTGTCAAGGAAACCGGCCCTTTGTTAAGAGGAAGTGTCTGGAGACTTTGGCGCAATGCCTTTTGCCTTCTAAATGACACAGGATGTGCGTCAGCTCGCAATTTAGTCATTTCCTGGAGAAGAATCTGTCGAAACACTGTTGGTTGTGTTAAGGGGGGAAACGTTTTAAAGAAGTTTGAGTTTAAATTTTGCACTGTTTGAGAGTGAAAACGCATTTTAATAGAAATATGTTTGTTTTTTTTACATTCAGATTCAAACACATGCAAATCCGTGTCAATGCAGAGTCTGCAGCCTTTTACAGGTGAGGCACAAGATGTACTGTGTGGACGTGGTTGAGTTTTTCTCATTCATTTTACAGTATCTTGTGCTGGTTTGATGTAAGCAGGAGTCGCTGCACAGGTGGAGGTTTTGTAGATGGTGCTAGAAAGTTAAATCACAATAGAAAGCAGGTTGGAAAAACACAACTGTCTGTGCTTTTAGAGCTGGTAAAGTGGAGCACATGAGGACGGACAGACGACTGCAGGCTCTGCTGCAGACTCAGAAAAGTCTCATAAACAAGGAGCTGTGGCTTTACAGTAAGAAAACTCAGCATGCATGCAGACTTACTCGCTGATATCGAACACTGCTCATTCTGCTTCACAAAACCTTTGACTGCTTCTTTCTTAGTTGGTGTGAACACCTTCGACTACCTCGGAGGTTTCCTCAGCTACGTCATAATCGCCATCCCCATCTTCACCGGTGTTTACGACGGTCTGACTCCCGGTGAACTCAGTGCACTCATCAGTAAGGTAGGCAGGATTTTTTTTCCCTTACCGACTGCACTACACCTCTTGACAAACTGAGAGCTAATCTTTGAAGTGTTTGTGTATCTCTTTGTCCCGTAATGCATTTAGTTGCGCAGCAGTCAGACAAAATAGACACAAACTTAGAAAATGAAAATATAAATTATATGTAATGTTTTCTTTATTGGTTGTATAGCATGTGCTTATGTTTTCCGCTCAAGAGTTTAGCTGAAAGATGAAATCTGTCACAGAATAGCTGCCTAAATTAGAATAGTTGTTCCTACTTTAACCACTAGGTGGCACCAAAAGCCTTTTTTTTCTTCTTCTGACAAACACTTCAGCTCCATTCATGTGGAGTTCAGATGCCTATTGTTTGACAGATACTTCACCTCTTAAGATCTTCTGAAGCGTTATTGGAGCTTCACACAATCACATGTGGACGAGTGTATTTAGTATTGAATTCATGTCCGTTGCGGTCTGTCTTGTTCTGCATTCTCTTTTATTTTAAAACGATCTCGTCTCTTATTTACTCTCTGCTCGGGTTTCTCCCTCTCCTTGTTCATATTCAGAATGCCTTTGTGTGCATCTACTTGATAAATGGCTTCACGCAGCTAATAGACCTGTCAACGACTCTGTCAGATGTGGCCGGATACACCCACAGGTATCTGGCTGCATACTTAAATTCACCTCCTGGAGGACAAATGATGACAGCAGGGTTTGTGCATGCCGTCCACCTTTCTATCACTCGATCTGTGTGTGTGTGTGTTGTGGTCAGGATCGGGGAGCTGAGGGAGGTGATGGATGACATCCTACGCAAGCAGTGCGACTACGACCCTGCGTCAGGGGAAAGCTACGACTTTGACAGGTTTGTGCGAGCATCAATCTCCGCTGCAGAAAAACGTACAGTGAGGCTGATTTAAGAAACAGGCTGCATGTTAAGAGAATTCATTAAATCACATTCAGCGTAAAGAAATAAGAACGAGACAGCAAAGAGCAAGAAGATGGTAAATGAGGATGTTTGTACCAAAGTCCTACTTAATGTCTATTATCTGTCCACACAGCGACTTCAACGTCCACGGAGGCCCGGCGGACACTGCCTTCATCCTGGACAGCCTTTCGTACAAATCTCCTTACTCGGATCAGCTGCTGGTGGAAGACCTGAGTCTGAAAATCAGTCAGGGAACTCACCTCCTGGTGGTCGGGAACACAGGCACCGGCAAGACGTCGCTGCTGAGGGTCCTCAACCGTCTGTGGGAGGCAGACAGCGGTGAGACAGCAGCAGGACTGATGCTGTTTTATTCACTGTGTTCTGTTTAATATGAGCGCACAAACAACAGGTCAGGCTTAATCAAACAGCGGAGAGGCTCCTCACAAATGTGGGGAGTAAAAGTAACTCCTGGCAAAAAAAATGAGAATTTACTGTAAAAGTAAAAAACATATTTAAAGGAGAAAGAAAATGTGTGTCCGCATTATGCAAACTACCAATTTATAATAATAATAATTTAAAAAGATAAAAGGCCCAAACACTGTGAGTTTCCTTTAAGGATATTTTATTGTGTAATGAACACAAATAACTTTTAACATTCCTTGTAGCTGATCCCGTAACAAGCTAATCTTGTGTGTAATGTTTTGCTTCTTCTATTTTGTTTAGTTAAGTACAAATTTGCTTCACAGCCTACACCACAAACACAAAAGAAAACACAAATATCTCTCAGCATTGCACAAACACACGTGAACATACTGGCCCAAGACAGGTTAAAGTGTTTTCTGGGTTTTCTGAGGGTCACAAGTTCAGAATATAACACTCCTGCTGGGGTGAGGTTTCCTTGACGCAGTTCCTAAGAAATTTGTAGCTTTTGTTCCGTCGGTTTTCTTATAAGAAGAGGTTTGAGTAAAGATCTTTAACCCTAGCCCTAGTGTTACTCTGTTTTCCATGCAGAAAGATCAGAAAACAAATTTTATCTATAAGGCAAAATAAAGAAAAATGACATTTTGTGCATCTTCTTCTCAGGTTTTGTCCAGATGACCACGTGTTTCGGACCCAGAGGAACCCTCTTCCTGCCTCAGAAGCCCTACCTGACTGATGGCACGCTGCGTGAACAGGTTCCTTTTATGCCGTTTTGTGCCTACAGCTTTTCAAATAATACAGCTTGTGCTATCCTTATGACGAGTGCTAAAATCTGCCACAACATAAAAGACAAACTGAGGATTTACTGGAACTTTTCTTTCCAACAGGTGATCTACCCACTGAAGGATATTTACCCTGAATCAGGTATTTATTCTGACCAAACTGTACAACGATGTATATTATAATCAGTTGTTCTGACATTAAAGCGTACTGGATATGTCATGATGAGTTCAGCCGTTGTTTTGTATGATATATATTTTTGCACTTCTGGGTTAATTTGAGAATATTTACATTTAATCTTGGGTGTCGGTGCCGCCTCATAAAATCCCTAAAATATTGAATAATTTGAGGGACTGATATTCATAATGCGAGTCTCCTTTCTCAGGGTCAGTGGATGATGACAGAATTATACATTTCCTGGAGCTAGCCGGAGTGGTGGGTAACTCAATCATGCAGCAATATGCTTTAAAATATAACCTTCACTATGAATTGTTTATTCACCTTGAACGTGTTTTTGACTCAAACGTGACGTGTGCGCTCTCAGTCCAGTATCCTGAAGCGGACCGGCGGCCTGGATGACAAGGTGGACTGGAACTGGTGAGAGCAAGTTGTTGTTGTTGTTGTGCACTTTCCGTGACTTCTTCAGACTGGTGCAGCATCTTGATTTTCTTGCAGGTACGACGTTCTGTCTCCGGGTGAAATGCAGCGTCTCTGCTTTGCACGGCTCTTCTACCTGCAGCCCAAATATGCAGGTGTGTTCTTTTGACTGTCTGTTATGAGCAGGGAAACTTTAAATGGTTTTGATTAGAAGATTTCGTCTTATGGCCTACGGCTGTCTGTTTTATTTTATATTTTAGTCTTAGATGAGGCCACCAGCGCTTTGACCGAGGAGGCGGAGGCACAGCTGTATCGAACCTGTAAACAGCTGGGCATGACGCTGGTCAGTCTGGGACACCGTAGCAGCCTGGAGAAGGTAAGACTAAACCCAGAAAGCCTCCTTAGAAAGAAAGGGATTGCTTGGTTTCAATGTCTGCTCATCAACACATGTAGCTACTAGAGCAGAGGTTTGGAGGAAGTATGCTTGACGTGCTCCCTACAGCTGAACTAAACACCAGGAACTGATGGATTAGATTCTACAGAGTCTCTATTACTTCTATTAAACAGATCATTAATGTTGATCAGTGATAAGGTTTGGTATTTCTATTCCCCATAAACACTTACCTCCTCTTGCTTTTTTCCCTGAATCTGATCAAATCTACAGAGAATATTAACTCTCACCTTTCTGTCTTTGGCAGTATCACGACGTCCAGCTGAAGCTGTGCGGGGAAGGCCGGTGGGAGTTAACCAGGTTAAAAGGAGCCAGCGGGAGCCTCAGTCTCAAAGACGACGACCACTGATCTGTCCACTGTCTTCTCTTTGAAGCATCAATGTTCATGTTCCTTAATCCACCAGCATTCAAGTGCTCTTCAACAAGGTACTTTTAAGCCAAGTTGCACAGTTAAAGGCAGAAGTACACATGCAGTTTTGTATGTATTTATTAGTCTAAAGGCAGTTTGAGATATAAACATTTATATCTATCGTTCTTGATTTTAAAAAACAGGCAGGAATGCAACATTTTTCCTAAGAAGTTCATGATCTGGAGGAAGCTTTGTGGGTCAGAAACCAACCAAAATGTTGTGTTGTGACAAAAATCAGGAAAGAAAAAACTCTTTTCTGTGATTCTTGTGTGCTTTTATGAGATTGCAGGTCACTGTAATATGTTTACAGTCACAATGTGGCATTATAACACACAATGTTCTTTATGATAAGCCCTTGAGTGGGGCACATCTGTGGCAATACAAACAGTTGTAAAGAGTTGTTGATTTCATAAAAAAATTCTACAATAAAATTTGGTCTTAAAAATCATCTTTGGAAGTGAGGCACGAGGGTGGTTCATTGAAACACAGAGAGCAACGTGCAAGCATGACGTCCACGCTCCTCCGTAGATATGAATGTTTTTAGACACGTCATTTACTCCGGAGCTCACGGTGTCCTTCAATAATCTCCTGAACTGCTGCCGGATCGTCCAGCGTGCTGAGGTCTCCCAGGCTGTCCAGGTCCAGCTCCACCACTTTGCGTAGAACCCGTCGCATGATCTTCCCCGAGCGTGTTTTTGGCAGCCGCTGGACAAACTGTGAAAAAATGACCACGTTAAGTCAGTCTAAAAGTCAGTTTGCCAATTTTAACAATTTCCCTGAGTTTTACACTGAAGGGATCGATAAAGTTTTATTCTATTCTATTGTATTCTAAAGTTAGAGCACAGATTTACCTGGATGAAGTCCGGACAAGCGTACTTTGCAATTTTTTCAGCGACGACGTTGTTTAGCTGCCTGGACAAGTCTGCCTCTCCGATATCTGCGTTCTTTTTAAGCACCACGAAGGCGTAAACACCTGGAAATGCGAAAGAGGTCGAAGTTTATTCATTTTTGTAAACTGCAAAGTGTGGAAAACGCATTTTACACAAACAAATGCGTTGCTTACCTTGTCCTTTGATGTCGTGCGAGTATCCTATGACGGCAGATTCGGCTATTGCAGGACACTGATTCTGTCACAGAAATCATAGTCAGGATCAAATGTACGCTCTACGGTTTAATCTTGGATCAAAAACATACATGATTCTTTGATTATTTGTGTTGGAAAAAAGCAGTGAAGCAGAAATTACATCAATACTTTTCAGAGATCTCATCCTGTAGTACCTTTATTCATGATTTTATTGCAATACTTCTTTTGGGAAATGGTTTTACATCAAGCTATATGAAAGAAGTATGTTTTTTTTTTGTTTAGCAACACTTTGGTTCAGAAAAAATATCTCACTGAGATCTCACTGTCCTTCAAGGGCCTGTAACTGTGAAAATATTCATCGTATGAAGGTAAAACTTTGCATGGCTTCATTAAATCTACTAAAGTTACTGCAGATAAAACATCAGGAGCGAGGATCTGATTGATTTGTCGTGGACGGACCCGTGAGAGAAGACTGAAACGATGTAAACTTTCTGGCTCAGATGGACGATTATCTTCTAATGCTGCTTAGAAATGTGTGACTGAAGTGTGACGTCTCTTTTCAAACTCGGGTCTCGCTTCTGACTCGCCGAACCTTCCTCGCCATCATCATCTCCCTGATTCTCTCCGCCACGATTGGCCACTCCGCCAATCACTCAGATGCATTGCGATGAAAGTTAATGTGGACATTGTTGGATTTTTATCATGACTTTTGATCTCATGTTACCAAAAAGTCTAATTTTCCACTTCCAGCTTGTCAAGACAGAAAACACTGTAAGTAAAGAGGGTTTGTACTCTTCTTTCTCTCCTCGTCAGTGGTTCAAACGAGTGAACTATTAGCTTTACTGCAGAATATCCTCACAATACTGTTCAGCTTCATCTTTTGCCATTTAGTTTTAACCCTTTATAGGCCCCTCCTTTGAATCCTTGGAAAATGAAAATGTCAAGCCTAGTCTGTTACTGAAGGATATTTCAAGATATTTTTACTTTTGTGACTTTAGAATAAATAAATATTGCAAATCAAGGTTAATGAGGTTACCATATATGGTAACTTGCTGGTTAAAAGTAACAAAAATGTAACAAACTGCAAAAAACAATTATTTAGAAACATTTTCGTTTGAGGTAATGATAATTACACAACCAGTAGCAAAGCATTTATAAAGCTCATCCAGTATAATTTGTCTTTGGGTAGTTTATTGGCACTAATCTCAAAAAATAAATCAGAGTGGAGTTCAATGCAAACCAGTAACAAAGCGTTTATAAAGTGCCTGGAACATTTATTTAGTGACTTTTTTCGTGAGGTAGTGATGTTTACACTAATATTAAAACTAAATCAAAGTGCACGTGGTCCTAAAACCTCAAGGAGACGCACCGGGCGGACATGTTGAACGTCCAAGGAAGTTACCAAACATGGTCACTTGCCCCATTAAGGGTTAAGTAACTTCCTTCCTGAGCCAACTTTCCCCCCAAACCAATCCAGTGACACAGTCTGAGCTGCAGCAGTGCCACAGCAGCTAGCCAGAGGGAAAGCCCAAGTTAGATAATAAATCTGTCGCAATTTAACGTGTAGTTTTTCTCACAATAAGTTCATTTAATTCCTTACAAAACTTGTCAAAACAGACTGTTTCATGCCCGTTTAAAACTCCAGTGCACTTAACTAGAACATATAAGTTGTCATGATATCATAAATGTGTATAATTAATGTTTATCAAATTCAGCTTGACTTGTCTTAATCGAGTGATGCGTATGTGCTCCTCTGCCTGGCTTGAGCCTTTTAGTGCAACAAGCTTTGCGACTGGCCGATCTTACCACTGCATCCTCGATCTCCGCCGTCCCGATCCGGTGGCCGCTCACGTTAATGACGTCATCAAGGCGGCCGGTGATCTGGTAGTAACCGTCCACGGAGCGATAGGCGCCGTCGCCGGTGAAGAAGTAACCTGCAGCACGACAACAAACACAGAGGCGTAAAAACAAAGATTAAAAAAAAAAAAAAAAACACACAAAACATGTGCTGCTTGTCCCTGAACACATCACGCCGTACCAGGATAAGGCTGACAATAGGTCTCGATGAATCTCTGGTGGTTGTTGTGAATCGTTCGGGCCATTCCAGGCCAAGGCTGAGCCAGACACAGAGCTCCCGATGTGTTGTTTCCAGTCAGCACTTTGCCCTGGAGAAGCAAAAAACAGTGACGGACCCAGAGAACAGAAACATAATGATAGCTGAGTGATTGTTAAAGTAATTAACAGTGAACAACAAACACAGGAATATATCTCATTATATTATTATTATATCGCATTATTGACTCACTGGCACCAAATATCAGTGTTGTTCTTTAAACACACAGATGGTTTAAATAGATATCACGACTGATTTGACTTAAAGGTCACTAGTTCAAGTTTAACTAAACTGCAGTAAATAATTAACTGAATAACACTAATGACATTGAATAATCGTGATAACGCGCACAATGTAGTGAATAAATACACAAGTCATGATTATTTTTCTGTTCCCTAAGCAGTCAGAATGCTGAACTACTGATCCAGATGTGCAAACACTTCTTTATTTAATTGCTTTTAGTTTCTGGATCCTGAAGAAACGTTCTCTCATCTTGTTTGTACTACTATTGTATGTGCAGCAAAATGACAATAAACCTGATTTGATTAGGAATATTTTTTCCTCTTTAGATACCCAGACTGTTGGTTACATGTCGAGCATCACAGAACTAAAGATTATCACGAGTTACTCAGTATGTGTTTCCGTATAACCGTATGCAGTGAATTTGAAGTGAAATTTTGAAATGAATTAGGCCAGTTTCAAACAACCGGCTTGGAATTAAAAAGAAATCTTTAGGGATTGTTTTTTTTTTTTAAATGGCTGTAATTATTGTTTCATGTCAGCTGGTTTCAGACTTGAGACGAAGACAACGAAAGAAGATTAAACAGCTGATCAGTTATATGACTTAAATGTTTACAGAAAAGGTGTTTCCATCTCACATTATACGCATTTACTCTTCGAAAAGAAAGTCCAAAATTATGGCAGGTTTATCTAATTTTACTGTTTCCTTTAGCTTTTTCTAATGCAGTACTTCAGACTGTGATCCCCACCCTGAATAATTAGTACTATTGTGTACATGCTATTTGTCATTGTATGATCTGTGCATACTTAATAACAATAACATAACACTTGTAAAACATTCTTAAAGGCACAGCTTTGGAAATGCCACACTAAACCCCCGTGAATGCTTTTATTTGTGTGCGTTTCGGTTGCGAGGGAGAGATCGGCTCAGAGACACCACTCCAACTGTCTGCGCAATCTGTGCCCTGCGAAAGCAGCCTCGATAGCCGCAAAACAGTGTGACAGATTTTTAATAGGGAGTTTGGCACGCAGGGAGCGGGACTGATGGCTGGGAGCAGGGTGGGTATCAAAAGTGACACAGCTGGTGGCTGTTTTATAATCCTAATCTGACCCTCTCCTCCAGGCTGCTCTCAGCCGTCCATTTGCCGACGTGGCACGCTACGCTCACGCACACATCCACGGGCGACCGCACCTCAGAGTCCATGAGCACCGGCTTAATGCCAAAGAAGGGTCTCATGGCCATTCCTGGGACAATCTCTGCGTCTGGGTCGGACGGCCTCGGAGCGATGCAGATACCGCCTGTCTCTGGGAACACAGAGAGCACATTCATTAGAGGATAAAGGTGACGTTGTTTTGGAGGTTTTGTGTTGTAAACATCTACTAGAAAGACTCAACCCAATAATATGTTGTACACTTTTGGTTTATCTTCCCTGTGCGAAGCAAAAATCTTAAAAACAAAGGCTACACAACTGCCTGAAAAGCTGGGAACTATAATTTTAAACAGTGCTACATTAACAGCTGTAAAAATAGAATTTCTTAGAGGCTGTTTTTAACTGAGGATGAATACAGGGCTTATGTAGGTCCGACCAGGACTGTTTTTAGCTTTCAAACACTCATAAATACACACTAAATCTGCATCACATTCCATATATATGCATCCTAATGTATCCTAATGTAAGATATTTAGCTGCATTGTTAACATCAAAATCAAAACAAACATGCAAATTCTAAAATATTAACCAATAAAATGCCGTATCTGGTTCACAGTTTATCAGCAGCTCAATAGAATGGTTGCCCTTCATGCATTAAGCTGTCTGAATATCCAGGCGATAACACCCTTGAACACACCACGCTGCCTGATGCTGTGAGAAGAGGCACAACTGAGGCAGGAAAAGGGCAAAAAAAACCCCACTTTAACTGATTATTGGGGAGACGCTGCACAGAGGCTCCAAAAAGGGATCAAACTCAGGACCTCAGCTTTGGTAACATCACACTCTAGCCAAATAAGTCAACTAGCCGCTGCTCTAAAGGAATGCAGAGGGGCGACTGTTAGAACCGTAGGACCCTTAAGTGCCAAAAGTGTCAAAGAAACACAAAAATGCGGTGGAACAACAGCTCCCTTTACAGCCACAGGGCTCTCTGGACATTCATCGTCTGCTTATAGCAACAAACGGCTCTGGGGCCACCTCGAGCCAAACTGCAGTGCTCGTGTTTTTTCAGTGTAGTGCAGGTTTTAGACAACAGAGCTGTGTCAGAAGGAATGTAATTGTGGTGTCCCTCAGGGGTCCATTCTTGGCCCACTGCTGTTTTCATTATACCATGCATTTTTTCCCTCAGCCTCATCAATCAGAACTGTTAAGTACGCTCATTTTCTTACAGCCAGACATCAAGCAAGCATGAAGCTTATCATATCTCTTTAAATGTGAAAACATTAGGCAAAGCATGGATTTGTCAAAGACGACAGGGTTTTTTATGCTATTAAGAATTGACAAGATGATAATCAGATGATAGAAAAAAAAAGATACCAGCAGCTCCTACCTGCTCTTATGGCATTCACCGACTTCATTCTTTAGTCTAAGACTGCACTGCTGCTTAGCATCAAGACCTAACATGTCGTGTTTTTATCAGCCGTGAGGTTGAGGTAGGTGTACGCACCACTAATGCCACATGTTTTAAGCGGGTTATCCGGCATTTATTCCGGCTGAGGCGCCTTTTAGATGGTGTGCAGACTCTGCTTGCTTAGCACACCACTGCCGTACACAACTGTTGTATATTGGTATGTGGCAGGTCTAAGTTCCAAACCAGCAGTCTAGATAATCTTCTGCCTTCCTCCAGCATATTAAATGTCATTAGTCCTTCATCCAGCATATTCAACTACACAGAATGATTGGCGTCCTGAAATGTAAGCAGACTGCTAGAAATCATTTCTGACACAGATTTCTGGGAAGAATGTTTTACAGTTCTGCTTCTTTCATCTGAACAAAACCAAAAAAACAAGTCGTTTCTGTGCCCAGCTGATTAACATAAGGTCACACATGCATTTATTTTTTCCTGCCTGTAATGTCAGCGCTCCCTTCACCAACCCAACTGGTGTCTGAATTTAAACTGACACTAATAGATATGAACATATTAATTAATGGCGCGCTAGCCAGCACTGCCTGGCCTTCATCCAAATTATATTGAGAATTTATTGACCTGTGTTCCCGGAGCAGTGGATGGGTCTCCGCTGGTTATTGCCAAGTAACGTCTGGTGTCTAAAGGTGAGCGGGCCTTTGCTATTCGACTCGACTGCGATCAGACAGATTTGGTGTCTTTTAAATTCCTTTTAAAACATTCTTTACAGGAAAGAATTCATGAATGTTTGATATGTTACAGGGTTTTATCATCCTGTCTGCAGCTGACATAAAGCAGAGCCATGCAGGAACCAAAGTGAAACGAAGCAGAAGAGAATGAAGAACACGAGGAAGACCGAGCTGAGCGACACTTTGTGAACCCGGCAAAAAGAACATCTCATTGCTACAGATGCAGATTGTGGAATTACAGCCATACTAAGTAAATTAAATGCAATTAGGTCCATGTGGACCACAGAGGCTCTGCTAATCCTGCTGCTGGTGGTGTTGGTGGCAGCAGTGGTGGAAACAGCAGAGGGGACCCGTTATAAAGTAGGACACAACAGATGATCCCACAATAGCATTAGCAACCGGCATCCTGTTCACATCAACTGTAGCTGTGAGACCTGCAGACCAAAGTCCCTCCCAGAAATAATTCAAAATTAATAAACAGGCTGATTAGCTCTCTTGTGCGGCGACACTGCTCTTGAACATCTGTCCGTTCAATATGAAACAGGCAGTTAGTTTAATGAAACAGGAAGTCCAGCTCGCTTAGATTTCATAAATTTACACAGAGCAGGTTGTCTGTTTCCATGTGTTTGCGGTCATCATGCTAAGCTAAGCTAAACAGCTGCTTGCTATAGCTTCATATTTAGTGTACAGACTTGAGGTGGCTTCACTGATATCACTGTGAAAATTCCCAAGCTGCTTCCTGACATTATTTGCATTATAAGTTTTAGGATTTTTTTTTTTTGTTTGAATATGCAAATTTAGCATCATCTAGCTAAATATGTGCTAATTTGCAAACATTTCCAAAACAGAAATCTAAAAATCCAATGAAGCTAACTTCAAAATTCTTTCTGTTGACATAAAGGACTTAAAGGTTTTTATTCAGGGGATTTTGGAAATTCCTGTTTATGGCTCCATTAATCAGAAAATATGTATGACAGCCAGAAAAAAAAAAAAATTTTGCCATGTTTTCAGGAATAAAATGTTATACGAATGATATAATGAATGAACTCCTCTGTAAAAACCTGCAGAAGTGGGAAGTTCAGTGTATGTAACTGAAGCTACTGAAATGCAGAGTATAAGAAAAAAAAATCATTTTGAGAAAAAAATACTTTGAAGACATGTCAAATTCCTATGTTACAGTTTTACTGAAAAACACAATCAATGGTTAAACATTTTCTCTAATAGATATTACCATGAAACTACCTAAATCAAAACAATCAATTTATGTAAAACAGATTCCTAAAAATGTTGTTTAAATATACAAATTAGTTATTATCTCATTAAATATCCAACAGACAAATTCTAGTTTTTTAAAAAAAGACCTAAATGTGTATTTTGGATGATTTCTTTCCACTAGTCTAAAAGAAGACACGAAGCAAAACGGCTCAAAATCTCTACATTAACTGGTGCATGAATGATGATGATTCTAACTGTAGTTTCTCATTACGTGCATATTAACTAAATTATTTCTGTTTCTTTATTTGTGCTGTTGAAGCTGCATCTCTTTTCATCCTCCTGCCTCCTCTCACTGCTCCAGTCCTGGATGACCCAACATGGAGGCCTGATGCCAACGCCGGATCAGAACCTTTTTTCTCTCTCTCTCTAAACAAGCTACTTGCTTCCAGATCAACCAAATGGCATTTATGAATAATGCCACTTAGTCCTAATTGAAAACACTGGTCCAGGAAAATAACATAACAACATAATCCTTTTTACTGAAGTAGGGTATTTGGGTCATATCTGTGTCTGTAATTCTCAAGCTCATGCTGCTCTGATGTTTAATTATCATGAATTAATTATAGACTTTTGCCATGTGTATGGTAATTACCACGGCTTTGCTCCATTCGCTCATTACTCAATCTAATTTGGAGGGACCGAGGATGAAACACATAGTGTCAATCGGATCCTGTTTTCATTCGCAAAATTGAGGTTATTAGCAAAATCTGCTGATTTCGAACATGTTGTCATTATGTCCCGTCATAAGCTGCCTTCGTGGAGGCGTGGTGGTTATTTTTGGAGTCGCCGCAGAGGTTATCAAAGAGTGAAGGACAATTTTTTCGCAGATTAGTTGTGTAGAATTACTGCATATATTCTGTCAGTCATAACGTTTTAAAAACTTCTACTTCAGCCTCATTAATCTCTCGAGGCATTTATTTTGTCACATGACTCTTCCAGCAGCTTTGTTCATTACATCTGCATCCTGCCGTTGAAGCGTCTCCAACTAGTGTTCGACAAATTTGTTAGATTTATTCAGTCTTAAGGAAGTAAAGGTTGTGTCGACATTTACTTTATCTCTGGTTTCCTGAAATGGATTTTAACCGTGAGAAGAAAACATCTGGTCTCATTCTGGAGTCCGGAGGGAATCGAAAACCTCCCTCGCTTTTTGCATGCCGCAGTGCTGTGTGTGCACACACACAAGTACAAAAGTTACGTAACGCTGTTGTGGTTGGAGGGGTGGAGCCGGCCGCTCTCCCCTTTAAGATGGACTGTTTGAGTGCTTGCAGACGTGGCTGTGTTCAGGGAAGAGTTCATGAACTGAACTTCCCTTTATGGAGGGAGTGTAAATGTGTCAACCACTGACTGAAACGAGGCTTTAAAGCTCAGAGCATGAGAGAATTAAACCAGCCCATAGAATGATTCACCTAAACCAGTTCTTCCAAAAGTGCAGAAGGTGGGTGGCAGCAGCAGTGCGACTTTAACATACGTGCAAAATAAAAATCTAACTGTAATGACAGGACCTTAGAGTTCAGCATTAAGCTAGTGCATGTTTTAGTCGTTTCATGTCCATAAAAATAATCCAACCCCCTTGTAGGTTTTCCTCTTTAATTGTTCTTCAACACTGGATCGTGGTCAATTCATCTGGCTTTTTGGACGAGACTTTACAAAACAAGACTTTTTCATGTCAAAGTGAAAATACCAAGTAATTTAAGTTAACTATTAATGATGAGTGATTAGCGACTGCATAAGCACACACCCCCTTTAACGTGACTCACTTAAGTCAACACAGTTGCAGCCAAAAGGTGGTGAAAGTCACACAGTTTGTGAACGGGAGATCATCGGAGTGCA